TGGGATTACAGGCTTGAGCCACTGTGCCCGGCCAAAGTCTCGCTCTTATTGCCCAGGCTGGAGTGCAATGGCACAATCTCTGCTAACTGCAACCTCCACCTCCAGGGTTCATGTGATTCTCCTGCCTCAGCCTCCCAAAGTAGCTGGGATTACAGGCACCTGCTACCATGTGCAGCTATTTTTTCTGTATTTTTTTGTCGTTGTTGAGACAAGGTTTCACCATGTTGGCCAGGCTGGTCTTGAGCTCCTGACCTCAGGTGATCCGCCCGCCTCGGTCTCCCGATGTGCTGGGATTACAGGTGTGAGTCACCGCACCTGGCCAATTCTGTCTTTAATTCATGTTTCTTTGCCGTTCTGTGGCCACCTTTTTCCAAATGCCTGTTGGATGTTGCCTGCTGTCTTTGTTTTGTTCTTTGGATTTGTTTGCCACTGTTCCAAATTTTTTATTACTAAAATGATTTACAATTTAATTTCCAGGCTTGCTTTTCTTGTCTTTCTTTTTTTTTTTTTTTTTTTTGAAGACGGAGTTTCACTCTTGTTACCCAGGCTGGAGTGCAATGGCGCGATCTCGGCTCACCGCAACCTCTGCCTCCTGGGTTCAGGCAATTCTCCTGCCTCAGCCTCCCGAGTAGCTGGGATTACAGGCGCCCGCCACCATGCCCAGCTAATGTTTTTGTATTTTTAGTAGAGACGGGGTTTCACCATGTTGACCAGGATGGTCTCGATCTCTCGACCTCGTGATCCACCCGCCTCGGCCTCCCAAAGGGCTGGGATTACAGGCTTGAGCCACTCGCCCGGCCCCTTTTTTTTTTTTTTTTTAATAAGACAATGTTTCACTATGTTGGTCAGGCTGGTCTTGAACTCCCGACCTCAGGTGATCCGCCCGCCTTGGCATCCAAAGTCTTTGGATTACAGGTGTGAGCCACCGCACCCGGCCCTCCAGACTTTATTTTCTACAGCTTGCCTAATGGTTTAAAAAGTCATTTCTGCCGGGCGCGGTGGCTCAAGCCTGTAATCCCAGCACTTTGGGAGGCCGAGGCGGGTGGATCACGAGGTCAAGAGATCGAGACCATCCTGCTCAACATGGTGAAACCCCGTCTCTACTAAAGATACAAAAAATTAGCTGGGCATGGTGGCGCGTGCCTGTAATCCCAGCTACTCAGGAGGCTGAGGCAGGAGAATTGCCTGAACCCAGGAGGCGGAGGTTGCGGTGAGCCGAGATCGCGCCATTGCACTCCAGCCTGGGTAACAAGAGCGAAACTCCGTCTCAAAAAAAAAAAAAAAAAAAAAAAAAAAAAAAAAAAAAAAAGTCATTTCCGAGCCATTTGAGTATAAGTCACATTAATAATAATAGTATCTCCCCCATCACACACTAGTGCCCCTCATTTGTGTTTAAATGTAACCTTACTAGCCTTACTAGCTTCATTACCCACCTGACTTTCTTGTCTTCTTATGGTGGTAAAATATAACAGAAAATGTATCATTGACGTGCAGCCATCACGCTCCGCCTTCCATTTCCAGAACCTTTGCATCTTAACTGAAACTCTGCCCTGTTAAACACCGACTCTTGCCGTGTGCAATGGCTCACACCTATAATCCCGATTTGGGAGGCCAAAGCAGGTGGATCACTTGAAGTCAGGAGTTCAAGACCAGCCAGGCCAACATAGTGAAACCCCATCTCTACTGAAAATCCAAAAATTAGCCAGGTGTGGTGGCACACCCCTGTCATCCCAGCTACTCAGGACGCTGAGGCAGGAGAATCTCTTGAACCCGGAAGGTGAGGTTGCAGTGAGCACTGCACTCCAGCCTGGGGACAGAGGGAGACTCCTTCTCAACAAAATAAAAATAAACACTGACTCTCCCTCCAGCCAGCCTCTGGCAACCATTTTTCTACTTTTTTTTTTTTTTTTTTTTGAGACGGAGTTTCACTCTTGTTACCCAGGCTGGAGTGCAATGGCGCGATCTCGGCTCACCGCAACCTCCGCCTCCTGGGTTCAGGCAATTCTCCTGCCTCAGCCTCCTGAGTAGCTGGGATTACAGGCATGTGCCACCACGCCCAGCTAGTTTTTTTGTATTTTTAGTAGAGACGGGGTTTCACCATGTTGACCAGGATGGTCTGGATCCTTTGACCTTGTGATCCACCCGCCTCGGCCTCCCAAAGTGCTGGGATTATAGGTGTGAGCTGCCACGTCCGGCCCATTTTTCTACTTTTCTTGACTACTGTAAGTCCATACATATAAGTAGAATCATACAATATTTGTCCTTTTATGACATATTTCACTTAGCATCAGGCTTCAACGTTCTTGTAGTATGTATCAGAATTTCCTTTTAAAGGCTGATTGACGCTATCTGCATTCTGTTTTCCGTTAATCCGTCAGTGCATGTGGGGTTCTTCCTCCCACCGTTTGGCTGTTGTGAATAATCCTGCTACAAGCATCACTGTGCAGGTATTGGCCCTTTCAAGGGCAATGAAGGGTGTGTATGAAGGGGGAATTGCTGGGTCGTGTGGTCATTCTGTGTTTAAGTTTTTTGGTTTCTCGTTTTTGGGTTGTTTGTTTTTTGACACAGTCTCACTCTGTCGCAAGGCTAGAGTGCAGTGGCGCGATCTCTGCTCACTGCAACCTGCACCTCCCGGGTTCAAGCGATTCTCCTGCCTCAGCCTCCTGAGTAGCTGGGATTACAGGCACCCGCCCCCCATGCTGGCTAATTTTTTGTATTTTTAGTAGAGACAAAGTTTCACCATGTTGGCCAGAATGGCCTCGATCTCCTGACCTTGTGATCTGCCTGCCTCCGCCCCCCCAAAGTGCTGGGATTACAGGTGTGAGCCACTCCACCCAGCCAGGTTTTTAATTTTTATTTGTATTTTTTATTTTTTTTGAGACAGAGTTTCGCTGTTGTTTCCCAGGCTGGAGTGCAGTGGCACGGTCTCGGCTCACCGCAACCTCCGCCTCCCGGGTTCAAGTAATTCTCCTGCCTCAGCCTCCCGAGTAGCTGGGACCACAGACGCGCGCCACCACGCCCAGCTAATTTTTGTATTTTTTAGTAGAGATGGAGTTTCATCATGTTGGCCAGGATGGTCTCGATCTCTTGACCTCGTGATCCGCCCACCTCGGCCTCCCAAAGTGCTGGGATTACAGGCGTGAGCCACCATGCCGGGCCTACCTACGCCTGCTTCTAACGCAATCAGCTGGGGGGATAATGTATCTTCCTCCTGCTGATCCATGTTTCAACCTGATACCTGCCTCTGGCATGTTCCATCACCTGCCAAGCCCTGCTGGATCTTCACAGAACCCACTCACACCTCTTCCTTCCTGTGGGCAAGCTGTCTTTTCCCCAGCTTACTGTCATCTCCCCGACCTGCCCAAACCACTTGACACTGCCATAGACCTGAACTGTCCCATCGGGTCCCTACTCCACAGCATCCTCTATCAGCTTTCCATTGCCCAGCCAAAGGGGGAAGAAAATTAGCATGGGCCGGATGTGGTGGGTCCCATCTGTAATCCCAGCACTTTGATAGACGGAGGCAGGTAGATGGCTTGAGGTCAGGAGTTCTAGACCTGCCTGGAGCAACATGGCAAAACCCTGTCTCTACAAAAATAAAAATAAAAATCAGGCATGGTGGCACGCCTGTAGTCCTGACTACATGGGAGGCTGAGGTGAGAGGATCGATTGAGCCCAGGAGGTCAATGCTGCAATGAGCCAAGATCATACCACTGTGCTCCAGCCTGGGTGACAGAGCGAGACACTGTCTCAAAAATAATATATATTTTACAAAGAATTAGCATATGAATACCTTTTATTCGCCAGCCACTGCACTAAGTATCTAGATAAGAGTCCTATCTCGCCGGGCGCGGTGGCTCAAGCCTGTAATCCCAGCACTTTGGGAGGCCGAGGCGGGTGGATCACGAGGTCGAGAGTTCGAGACCATCCTGGTCGACATGGTGAAACCCCGTCTCTACTAAAAATACAAAAAATCAGCTGGGCATGGTGGCGTGTGCCTGTAATCCCAGCTCCTCAGGAGGCTGAGGCCGGAGAATTGCCTGAACCCAGGAGGCGGAGGTTGCGGTGAGCCGAGATCGCGCCATTGCACTCCAGCCTGGGTAACAAGAGCGAAACTCCGTCTCAAAAAAAAAAAAAAAAAAGAGTCCTATCTCATAGGTGAGCAAGCGGCACAGAAAACTTAAGCAACTTCTTTAAGGTCACACAGCTAGTAAGCAGTAAACTAAGTCCTTTTTTTTTTTTTTTTTTTTTTAAGATGGGGTTTCACCATGTTGGCCAGGCTGGTTTTGAACTCCTGACCTCAGGTGATCCACCCACCTCAGCCTCCCAAAGTGCTAGGATTACAGGAGTGAGCCACCGCGCCTGGCAGGTTCAAAGCATTTCAAAAGCAGTTGTATCCTCAAGTGCACTCCACAGCCTCATTGAATATTCATCGCAATCCGTTCCCTGGATGTCCCATCCCCCTTTTATGAAGAAAGCACTAAATAACTTGCTCGAAGTGTAATACCTCATAATTTAGAACTGGGATGTGAACCTGTGTCTCTGACTTCAGAGTGTCCACTGTGGATTCCTCACCTCTCCCAGACCCTGTGCCTGGCAGCAAGGTCCTGTCTGATCTGCAGCCAACATGGTTTTAACAGCCTTTTCTTCTGCTTCCCGCTGGATTTCCATTTTACATCGCTGTCCTTGCTTTGATCATTCCATCAGCCTCTTTGCCTTTTCTCCAGCTCAAAACCAAGGACCACTTTCTTCCTGAAACCTCTCCATGTCTCCAAAACCGGGTGGGGGGGGGGGAGCTTCCTGAATTGCAGCATTGACTTCACAACTCCCTTGTAACATTCTTAAGAGCAGAGAATGTGCCGGAACTACACTGCAGCCCTCCTGCAGCTGAGCACAGGACGGCCCCCAACAAATGCATGCAAGATGAACAGCAAATGTATTCGTGCGGGGAGGGTGCCTCCCGGGATCCTTAAATAGTCAGTTATCCGCAGTCAGGAAAGTGCATGAGACCAAGAAGCAGGGATTTGCTTCTGGTGCCAAATGTCCGGCAGCAGTGTTTGCCTTGCATTGATTTTCCGTGTTTGTCCTCTGCCCTGGCTTCCAGGTCTCTAAGTGGGCGGTCAGCCTCCCCCCACCCCCAAGCTGCTTTGTTACAATCTTTTCCCAGCCTGGACTTTTGTCCCAGCCCTACTAGCAACCAAGTCAACAGCAACCTACTTGCCACCTGGGGAGGAACAGCGTGGCTTGACCGGATAGGGACCTCTTTGGGGTTGGCTTCAAACCCAGCCCATTTGAAGGTGCAGTGTGTGGGGATGGGGGTGCTGCAGAGGGAGGGAAACCGACCAGAGAAGAGAAAAATAGCCCGGGCTGGCCGCCACTGAACGCCACCTCTCCCTGCAGCTCGGCAGCGATCTGGACTACATCCTGGGCTCCCGAAAAGGCAGGGGTTCTTACCTAAAGCAGGTAAGTGTCTTACCTTAGGTAAGTGACTGCATCAAGCTCTGAGTTGGTAGGAAAAGACTATTCTAGCAAAATAAACCATTGGAGGAAAGAGGAAGAGCAGCCGGTGGAACAGGGACACTCACCCCATTTGTTGGGCAGAGTCAGAAGGGGTGGGCAGGAGGAAGTGGCCGCCCCTGAACAGGGGGCATCCCAGGCCACAGCCACGCCAGGCAACAAGTGATTTTCTTGGCCGTAAGTCAAGAACTGGCTCCTGGTTGCTAGTGTGAGGGGTTCATTCCTGGGAATACTCACCGTTGCGCTGCTAATAAGAGGAGGTGGGCGGGGACGTGGTCCTCACCCAGAGGCCCCCAGCCCAGCTGCTCATGGTGGGAAGAAATGAGCACAGCTCCTTTGGAGGCCAAGGCGCGCGGATCACCTGAGGTCCGGAGTTCAAGATCAGCCTGACCAACATGGTGAAACCCCGTCTTTAAAAAAAGAAAAGAAATGAGCACAGCTCTACAGTGGAACAAGGCTGACAGCGGAGTCGAGGGGAAGTCCTCCTGGTGGCTCCTAGATTCAAGGACACTTACTGGATGCCTCTGCACCATGGCCAGGACACAGCCCTGAGAATCTTGTTTTCTGAGACAGTTTTACTCCGTCGCCCAGGCTGGACTGCAGCGTCATGATGTCGGCTCACTGCAACCTCCGCCTCCCAGGTTCAAGCCATTCTGCCTCAGCCTCCTGGGTGGCTGGGATTACAGGTGCACGCCACCACGCCTGGCTAAGTTTTTTTCTCTTAGTAGAGACGGGGTTTCAGCATGTTGGCCAGGCTGGTCTTGAACTCCTGACCTGAGGTGATCTGCCCCCCACCCCCACGCCTCCCAGAGTGCTAGGATTACAGGCGTGAGCCACTGTGCCCCGCTCGAGACTGTTTTAACTCACAAATAACTAGTCATCTTCTTTTCTTTTCTTTTCTTTTCTTTTCTTTTCTTTTCTTTTCTTTTCTTTTCTTTTCTTTTCTTTTCTTTTTGAGATGCAGTTTTGCTCTCGTTACCCAGGCTGGAGTGCAATGGCGCGATCTCGGCTCACCGCAACCTCCGCCTCCTGGGTTCAGGCAATTCTCCTGCCTCAGCCTCCTGAGTAGCTGGGATTACAGGCACGTGCCACCATGCCCAGCTAATTTTTGTATTTTTAGTAGAGACGGGGTTTCACCATGTTAACCAGGATGGTCTCGATCTCTCGACCTCGTGATCCACCCGCCTCGACCTCCCAAAGTGCTGGGATTATAGGTGTGAGCCACCGCGCCCGGCCCAATTTTTTAATTATTAAGACGGGGTTTCACCATGTTGGTCAAGCTGGTCTTGAACTCCCGACCTCAGGTGATCCGCCCGCCTTGGCCTCCAAAGTGCTGGGATTACAGGCGTGAGCCACTGCGCCCGGCCCTAACTAGTCATTTTCATGGGGAAGCACGCCAGTGTTAACATAACGTCATGCGGTAAGTGCTGCGACTGAATATCAAACGGGGTAACAGACCAGGGCTCCTAGCCAAGAACTGGGGGGGCTCCAGAAAGGCGGGTGGGAGGAGGTGATGCCCGAGCTGAAGCCCGGACGGCAGTTGGTAAATCACTGGGTTTGGATGTGGAAAGAGTGTCCCGGGTGAGGGGACGGTATGTGCGAGGCTTAGATGCGACACTGACGTGTCCCGCAGGCAGGAGTCGAAAGCAGCGGGTGAGGGAGAGGACGAGCAGGGAGGGGGTGCGGGAGGGGCGCTGTCCCGGGAGCCGGGAACCTCCCCCGCGCCCTTCCACCCACTTGGCCCGTGGAAGGTGGATTTGAGGGCAGCGAGGCTGAAAGCGAGGCGCTGAGTGAGGAGCGCTCCGGCATCCCGGGGGACACTGTGGTGAGCCAGCAAGTGACCGCACGGAAGGGGAACCGGAGGAGTCAGGTCTAGAGAATGGGACGGTTTCAGATCGGGGCGCTTGGCAAACCCTGCCCGCTCCTCCCTGCAGCTCAGCGGCTAGGGCTGTTTCTCCGAATAGTGTGTCTTGTTTACAATATGATGCTCAGTTACTATGTATTAAGAATCACTTTTCCGGCCGGGCGCAGTGGCTCAAGCCTGTAATCCCAGCACTTTGGGAGGCCGAGGCGGGTGGATCACAAGGTCAAGAGATCGAGACCATCCCGGTCAACATGGTGAAACCCCATCTCTACTAAAAATACAAAAAATTAGCTGGGCATGGTGGCACGTGCCTGTAATCCCAGCTACTCGGGAGGCTGAGGCAGGAGAATTGCCTGAGCCCAGGAGGCGGAGGTTGCGGTGAGCCGAGATCGCGCCATTGCACTCCAGCCTGGGTAATGAGAGCGAAACTCCATCTAAAAAAAAAAAACAAAAAAAATCTGCAAATGGCATACAGTAGGCACTCAACAAATATCTGTAGAGGGAGCAACACTCAGGCTTGTGGGTTGCCTTGGGGAGCAATGATTGGCCCTGGCTCCAGGTTTGCGGTTTTCGTAGTGCTGTGACTGCTTTCGAACCTTGACTGGCTAATGATTTTCTCTTCCTTGCCTGTTGACTAATGTATTTACTGCTGTCAGAAATCTTGTCAAGTCATAGGCTTTGATGACCACACCTGGTCACGGGAACTTCTGGGGCCAGGACTGGCAGCAGCTTGGCATGGCCTCAGGGTGCAGAGGCACAAGGCAGGCCGGTGTTCTTCATGGGTGGAGACGCTACCGCATCTGTCTAGCTGTCTGTCTCCTAGTGGCCCTGGGATTACGGTGTCCCTCATTTCTCTGGCATCTGTTAAATACCCCTAGTCCAGTAGCCAGGGAAACACAATGTCTTTTTCTTTCTTTCTCTCTCTCTTTTTTTTTTTTTTTTTTTTTTTTTTTTGAGACAGTCTTGCTCTGTCGCCCTGGCTAGAGTGCAGTGGCACAATCTGAGCTCACTGCAACTTCTACCTCCTCGGTTCAAACGATTCTCCTGCCTCAGCCTCCCGAGTAGCTGGGATTACAGGCATGCACCACCACACCCGGGTAATTTTTTGTATTTTTAGTAGAGATGACGGGGTTTCTCCATGTTGGTCAGGCTGGTCTCGAACTCCCGACCTCAGGTGATCTACCCACCTCAGCCTCCCAAAAGTGTTGGGATTACAGGCGTGAGCCACCGCGCCCGGCCCACAATTTCTATAGTAATTTAGCTCTAGAAACAACAGGGAATATGGTTATAAGAACAGTCACAATGTTCTCAATTATTGGACTCCCTGGCTTTACACAGAAACAGTTGTGTCCTAGCCATCTTTATTTATTTATTTATTTATTTATTTATTTATTTATTTATTTTTGAGACAGAGTTTTGCTCTTGTTGCCCAGGCTGGAGTGCAATGGCGCGATCTCAACTCACCGCAACCTCCGCCTCCTGGGTTCAGGCAATTCTCCTGCCTCAGCCTCCTGAGTAGCTGGGATTACAGGCACGTGCCACCATGCCCAGCTAATTTTTAGTATTTTTAGTAGAGACGGGGTTTCACCATGTTGACCAGGATGGTCTCGATCTCTTGACCTCGAGATCCACCCACCTCGGCCTCCCAAAGTGCTGGGATTACAGGCTTGAGCCACCGCGCCCGGCCAAGCAACTCTCTTGTCTCAGCCTCCAGAGTAGCTGGGATTATAGGCACGTGCCACCACGCCCAGCTAGTTTTTTGTATTTTTTGTAGAGATGGAGTTTCATCATATTGGTCAGGCTGGTCTCAAATTCCTGACCTCAGGTGATCCGGCTGCCTCAGCCTCCCAACGTGCTGGGATTACAGGTGCAAGCTACGGCATCCTGCCCTGTCCTATTCACTATTTTTTTTTTTTTTTTTTTTTTTTTGAGACGGAGTTTCGCTCTTGTTACCCAGGCTGGAGTGCAATGGCGCAATCTCGGCTCACCGCAACCTCCGCCTCCTGGGTTCAGGCAATTCTCCTGCCTCAGCCTCCTGAGTAGCTGGGATTACATTCACGCGCCACCATGCCCAGCTAATTTTTTGTATTTTTAGTAGAGACGGGGTTTCACCATGTTGCCCAGGATGGTCTCCATCTCTTGACCTCGTGATCCACCCGCCTCGGCCTCCCAAAGTGCTGGGATTACAGGCTTGAGCCACCGACCAGGCTGGTCTTGAACTCCTGACCTCAGGTGATCCGCCTGCCTCGGCCTCCCAAAGTGCTGAGATTACAGGCGTGAGCCACCATGCCCAGCTCGCCTCCAGATTTCAAGAAATTCTCCTGCCTCAGCCTCCGGAGTAGCTAGGACTACAGGTGCGTGTCACCATGCCCCACTAATTTTTGTATTTTTAGTACAGATGGGGTTTCACTATGTTGGCTAGGCTGGTCTCAAATTCCTGACCTCGTGGTCCACCCGCCTCGGCCTCCCAAAGTGCTGGGATTACAGGAGTGAGCCACCGTGCCCGGCCAACTTTTGCATTCTTAGTAGAGATTGGGGTTTCACCATGTTGCCTAGGCTGGTCTCAATCTCCTGACCTCAGGTGATCCGCCCTCCTCCGCCTCTCAAACTGTTGGGAGGAGTAATTGCCCTGCCTCTTTTTCTCTCTCTCTTTCTTTTTCTTTCTTTCTTTCTGCTTCCTTCCTTCCTTCCTCTCTCTCTCTTTCTCTCTCTCTTTCCTTGGCATAGGGTTTTGTTTTGCTCTGTTGCCCAGGCTGGAGTATAGTAGTGTGATCTTGTCTCACTGCAACCTCCACCTCCCGGGCTCAAACAATCCTCCCATCTTAGCCTCCTGAGTAGCCGGGTCACCACAGCTAGCTAGTTTTTTGTATTTTTGTAGAAAGGGGGTTTCCCTATGTTGCTCAGGCTGGTCTTGAACTCCTGGGCTCAAGCGATCCACCTGCCTCAGCCTCCCAAAGTGCTGGGATTACAGGAGTGAGCCACTGCGCCCGGCCAAACTTAAGTCCTTGAGAACTAGAATGTGTCTTTGTTGACTACTGTATCAGCAGACCTGGAGCAGTGCCCAGCACTCAGTGAATGCCTTCCTGAATGGATGAATGTAGCACCAACAGAAAGAATGATGTCTCCCCCATCCCTCTTTTCTTTTCTTACCCAAAACAAAATAGCTGGAGATAAGAAAGAATTGCTGGCAGCCTGGAGTCAGTGAGGAGTGCAGGGGAGTTCCTGACACCTCCCCTCTGGATTTAAAGCAGGCCCACTCTGTCCAGGCGCAGTGGCTCACATCTGTAATCCCAGCACTTTGGAATGCTAAGGTAGGAGAATCACCTGAGGTCAGGAGTTCAAGACCAGCCTGACCAACATGGAGAAACCCCATCTCTACTAAAAATACAAAAAATTAGCCAGGTGTGGTGGCACATGCCTGTAATCCCAGCTACTAGGGAGACTGAGGCAGGAGAATTGCTTGAACCTGGGAGGTGGAGGTTGCGGTGAGCTGAAATTGCACCATTATACTCCAGCTTGGGCAACAAGAATGAAACTACATCTCAAAAAAAAAAAAAAAAAGGCCGGGCTCGGTGGCTCAAGCCTGTAATCCCAGCACTTTGGGAGGCCGAGGCGGGTGGATCACGAGGTCAAGATATCGAGACCATCCTGGTCAACATGGTGAAACCCCGTCTCTACTAAAAATACAAAAAATTAGCTGGGCATGGTGGCGTGTGCCTGTAATCCCAGCTACTCAGGAGGCTGAGGCAGGAGAATTGCCTGAACCCAGGAGGCGGAGGTTGCGGTGAGCCGAGATCGCGCCATTGCACTCCAGCCTGGGTAACAAGAGCGAAACTCCGTCTCAAAAAAAAAAAAAAAAAAAAAAGGCCACCCTCCTCAGAAGCTGTCGTAATTATTGTGGTAGCTTCCACTTCCTGAGCACTGTCAATTAGGAATATAATGTATTTTGCTTTCTCAACAGGATCACATGAAGTTCAGAAAACACAGTTTAATAGCCAAAAAGTAACTGTAGAGCATCTTAAGTTTTTTGTTTGTTTGTTTAAGGAACAGAGTCTTGTTCTGTTGCCCAGGCTGGAGTGCAGTGGTTTCATCTCAGCTCACTGCACGCTCTGCCTCCACCTCCGGAGTAGCTGGAATTACAGGCTCATGCCGCCATGCCTGGCTAATTTCTTTTGTACTTCAGTAGAGACGGGGTTTCACTGTGTTGCCCAGGCTGGTCTCCAACTCCTGAGCTCAGGTAGTCTACCCACCTCAGCCTCCCAGAGTACTAAAATTACAGGCGTGAGCCACCATGCCGGCCCTCTTAAGTATTTTGTTGCAGTTCTTGGACACCGTGAGAGGGATTCCTAGTCTATAGCAACTGCCCTTAAAATCCTTTCCCAGCCCATTCCCTCCCTCTGGCACCACCCCCATCGCTCTGCCCAAAATGCCCCTAGACAGCCTCTCCTCCAGCCTCAGCAGGCCATATCCTTCTCTTTCATTCTGCTTCTCTCTTATCTGATCGCAGAGTCCAAAAGTTCCCGGATTCTGATTTGAATCCCAAAGTCCAAAAGGTTTAGGAAGGGGAAAGTGGGGTGAGCGGGTAGCATTAATCCACTAGTGATGTGTGTCCTGGCCCATCTGTGAGGTGGGCATTGCTCTGACTACTTTGCAGGCGTGGAAGCTGCAGCCCAGGGGAGGTCGTGACTTGCCAGGAAGGCGGCTCGGGCCAGGCTGCGCTCAAAACCTGTGTGTCCCGGGATCCCCAGCCCCTGCAGAATGACCCACCAGGATCTGAGGTGAGCTTGGCTGAGACCCTAGGCCCTGGGCCTGGCGGGAAGAGTCACTGTGATGACAGCCCATCTAGGTTTCTGAAGAACAAGCTGAGTTCTAGGGAAGAGCGAGTGAGACCCCTGTCCTCCAAATAACACCTGCACTAGGTCCACTGGGGCAAACACATACACACAGGCATCTGCGCACATGTTTATTATTGTTCAATATTGTTCGTTTGAGTTCATCTCCTCTGACTGCAAAATTCAGTCCACAGCTCTCTCTTTTTTTTTTTTTTTTTTTTGAGACGGAGTTTCGCCCTTGTTACCCAGGCTGGAGTGCAATGGCGCGATCTCGGCTCACCGCAACCTCCGCCTCCTGGGTTCAGGCAATTCTCCTGCCTCAGCCTCCTGAGTAGCTGGGATTACAGGCACGTGCCACCATGCCCAGCTAATTTTTTGCACTTTTTGTAGAGACGGGGTTTCACCATGTTGACCAGGATGGTCTCGATCTATTGACCTCGTGATCCACCCGCCTCGGCCTCCCAAAGTGCTGGGATTACAGGCTTGAGCCACCGCGCCCGGCACCACAGTTCTCTTTATTGTCCCAAGCTTCTCCTTTGTCAAAGGCCCACAGTAATCCGCTCTTACCACTTCCGGGTAAACCCATCTCCAAATGTGCTCTGTCTGCCTCCGGCTTGAAAGATAGGAAAAGTTTAGGGGGTACCAAGAAATCCGAGAAAGCTTTGCTATTTCCCGTCTTCCCAAGCTCCCACACCTAGCAGGGTGGGGGGCCCTGTCCTCTAAACTGTGGCCTCACTTTTGGCTGGAACTGGATCATCTGCACGGGCTGGCCGACGTGAAGCCCTCAGTGCGGGAAGATCCCGTTCTGTTTTTATGAATAGCGGGCATTCTCCCCAGGCACGGTCTCCACAGTCCTCCGCAACCCTGCAGTGAGTTCCCGGGGATCACGGGCCCAGAGAGGCGGGGTCGCAGTAGCCTGACCCTCAGCCAGTTTGTATGAGAGCCGCACACGTGGCTGCGGGCCGCGGAGGAGCCGCCGGGCCGAGCGGTGCCCTGGTGGGCCCCCCGGGGGCAGAGCTGGGCTCCTCCCAGAGGCCCCTGTAGGTCCCAGCTCCGGGGCGGCCCGGGAGGCAGCGCGATGCCTCAGCCCTGGTGAGCGCGGGCGCCTGTGTGGGCCGGAGCCTCGCCGGGGAGGGTCTCTGGACGTCTGCGGGCTGGGGTGCCCCCTCTCTGCGCCCCCGCCCGCTCCTGCCGGCCTCCCCTCCCTGACCCGCCGCTCCCTCTGCCTCTCTCCTCCCGGTGCCCAGCATCACAGCCAAACTCATCAACGGAGGCGTGGCAGGGCTCGTGGGGGTGACCTGCGTGTTCCCCGTCGACCTGGCCAAGACTCGGCTGCAGAACCAGCATGGGAAAGCCATGTACAAAGGAATGTAGGTGCCGGCGGGCGGGGGCAGGAGCGGGGGCGGGGCAGGGCCGGGGGTCGGGAGGGGCGGGGCCGGCGCGGGGGCGGGGCCGGGAGCAGGGGCGGGGGCGGGGCCGAGAGCAGGGGCGGGACAGGAGGGGCGGGGGCAGGGCAGGGCCGGGGGTGGGGAGGGGAGGGGCCGGGAGCAGGAGCCGGGGTCGGGAGGGGCGGGGCCGAGAGCAGGGGCGGGACAGGAGGGGCGGGGGCAGGGCAGGGCCGGGGGTGGGGAGGGGAGGGGCCGGGAGCAGGAGCCGGGGTCGGGAGGGGCGGGGCCGAGAGCAGGAGTGGGACAGGAGGGGCGGGGGCAGGGCAGGGCCGGGGGTCGGGAGGGGCGGGGCCGGGGAGGGGAGGGGCCGGGAGGGGCGGGGCCGAGAGCAGGGGCGGGACAGGAGGGGCGGGAGCAGGGCAGGGCCGGGGGTGGGGAGGGGAGGGGCCGGGAGCAGGAGCCGGGAGGGGCGGGGCCGAGAGCAGGGGCGGGACAGGAGGGGCGGGGGGCAGGGCAGGGCCGGGTGTCGGGAGGGGCGGGGGCAGGCGCGGGGGCGGAGCCGGGGGCAGGAGCGGGAGTCGAGAGGGGCGTGGCAGGAGCGGGGCCGAGGGCAGGAGCGGGAGTCGGGAGGAGCGGGGCCGGAGGCCGGGGCCCTTCCCTCCGGCTCCCGGGCTGAGCGGTGACCGCGGGGCTGCGGCGCGGCTCTCCGGGAAGTGCCGGCGGGGGCAGGGCCCAGAGGGGCTGGGAGGGGCCGGGAGCTTGCCGCGTGCCCACACCTCTGGCCTCCGCCTCCAGGATCGACTGCCTGATGAAGACGGCGCGGGCGGACGGCTTCTTCGGCATGTACCGAGGTGGGCTGCTCAGAACCGGGGAGGCTGGGCGGCAGGTGGGAGCGGGCGGAACGCGGGGAACGGGTGTTCCTTCTGTCCCGGGACTGCCGGAGTGGGGTCAGGGCGGCCAGGGGTTCGCTCCTGATGAGCCTCTGCGCTCTTGGGTGGAGACAGAGGCTTCCCGAGACCCCCCAGAGCACACCCTGGGCCCCGCCTCACTAAGAGCCCACCCTACCTGCCTGTCCCTCTCCTGTCCCCTTCGCGGTCCGCCCCCTCTCTGCCTGGCTAGGAGCGAAGAGGGAGGGGCTGAAAGGGGCTGAGGGAAGGGGGTTGAGCTCCTGGCCAGGAGTTCTGGGTGGCTCCTCCCCAGCACCGTCCAGCGCCGCTGCGGTCCCGGCGGGGTCCCCAGCCCTGAGGCTGCTTTGGACCGTGGGTCCAAAGCTGGAGTTGAGTAGGAGGTGATATGCTTGTGCCCCCGAGAAGCAAAACACGAACCCCTGGGAGCCCCGAGCCAGCAGCCAATGGGACTGGCTGTGCGGCACAGAGGAGCCTGGGTACCCCACCAGCAGCGACGGAAGTCAAGTGGCTTCCTGATAACCGGACTGCGGAGTCCATAGGAAAAATACATACAAAGAGGAGAATGTGGCAGGGAGGGGGACTGGAAAGCTGTTTCGGTGAAACAGGCCCGGGAGTCCTGCGCGGCCCGATGCCCTTCACTCCGAGACTATCCTGCCTAGGACTTGGGGGCAGACCCAGGGAACTGATGTTTCTGGGAGCGCCTTGACTCCCCGTCTCGTCCTTCACTTCCAGGGGCTGCAGTGAACCTCACTCTGGTCACTCCGGAGAAGGCCATCAAGCTGGCGGCCAATGACTTCTTCCGGCAGCTGCTCATGGAAGACGGGTATGGGGTTGGATCCTTCCCTGTGTGTTTTTTGGGAGAGATGGCAGCAAGAAGATTTCAAATGTGCCTCAGTTTACCTACCTGCATGCATACATATGTCTGAGGGCTGGTGTGTTTGGGCTGCTGCAGCGTGAAGGGAGAGAATGAGCTGGTGTACTTTGGAAGTGTGACAGATAACATAGAGAACATACAGAATATTTATACAGACAAATCCATAAATTAGCCAATACTTTTTTTTTTGAGACGGAGTTTCGCTCGTTACCCAGGCTGGAGTGCAATGGCGCGATCTCTTGTCACCGCAACCTCCGCCTCCTGGGTTCAGGCAATTCTCCTGCCTCAGCCTCCTGAGTAGCTGGGATTACAGGCACGCGCCACCACGCCCAGCTAATTTTTTGTATTTTTAGTGGAGACGGGGTTTCACCATGTTGACCAGGACGGTCTCGATCTCTTGACCTCTTGATCCACCTGCCTCGGCCTCCCAAAGTGCTGGGATAGCCAATACATTTTTAAAACTCAGCCACCAAGCTTGGTGCAGTGGCTCATGCCTGTCATCCCAGCACTTTAGAAGGCTGAAGGAGGATTGCTTGAGCCCAGGAGGTCGAGGCTGCAGTGAGGCACGTTGGCTGCACTGCACTTCAGCCTGGGTGACAGAGTGAGACCTCACCTCAGGAGAAACAAATCAGCCCCTAAACCCTTTCCTTTCTAGCTCTCTGTGACTCATGTTGCCCAGTGATGTTCCTGAAGGGATCAGGGACAGTGCCCAGCATGGACAGTTTGTCACTTTTCAGCTTCTATGTGGTGCTGCCGCTCTAGCAGGCTTTGTTTTAAATTGTCTCCTGTCGGTACAGAGACCATACCTGAGGGCCAGCTGATGACTTACCCAGCTGGGTGAGTGGCAGCCAGGGAAAGTCCCCCTCTCACAGGAGGGCAGCTGCACCAGGCTGGGCCTACTGGCCCGCAGCTGAAGGAGCCTGATGCCTGTTTCCATAGGATGCAGCGGAACCTGAAGATGGAGATGCTCGCCGGGTGTGGCGCTGGGATGTGCCAGGTGGTGGTGACCTGTCCCATGGAAATGCTCAAGATTCAGCTGCAGGACGCTGGACGCTTGGGTAAGGCCTGTCCCCACATCCCATGGGAAAAGGAACCAGGCACATGGGATTGGAACCAGGCACATCCCACATCCTGCCCTCATTTGCTGGGCTGTGTGACCAGTCAGCTTTCGAAGTAGGTAGAAGTCTTCGGCCGGGCATGATGGCTCACATCTGTAATCCCAGCACTGTGGGAGGCTGAGGCAGGTGGATCACTTGAGGTCAGGAGTTTGACCAGCCTGGCCAACATGGTAAAAAACCCCATCTCTACTAAAAATACAAAAATTAGCTGGCTGTGGTAGCACATGTCTGTAGTCCCAGCTACTCAGGAGGCTGAGGCAGGAGAATCATTTGAACCCCGGAGGCAGAGGTTGCTGTGAGCTGAGATTGTGCCACTGCACTCCAGCCTAGGCAAGAGACGAAGAATCTGTGTCCAAAAAAAAAAAAAAAAAGAGGCCGGGCGCGGTGGCTCAAGCCTGTAATCCCAGCACTTTGGGAGGCCGAGGCGGGTGGATCACGAGGTCGAGAAATCGAGACCAGCCTGGTCAACATGGTGAAACCCCGTCTCTACTAAAAATACAAAAAATTAGCTGGGCATGGTGGCACGTGCCTGTAATCCCAGTACTCTGGGAGGCTGAGGTGGGTGGATCACAAGGTCAGCAGTTTGAGACCAGCCTGGCGAATATGGTAAAACCTCATCTCTTAAAAAAAAAAAAAATATGCCAGTGACTGTTCCACTGAAACCTTCAGTCAATAAGTATGTCACGCTCTTGAAGCTGGCTTTTGGTGGAAAGGCATCAAGAGGGAGAAGAGAATCATTCTTATTTCTTTTGGTTTTTCCTGGAAGGGAAGTTTGGCCCTTTCCTAAATCCTGGCCCTCTCAGAACAATGGAGTGGTGTTGGCTCAGCACAGGACACTCCTGTAATTCCAGCTACTGAGGAGGCTGAGGTGGGTGGATCGACAGTTTGAGCCCAGCCTGGGCAACACAGCAAACCTTGTCTTTCCAAAAAAAAAAAAGCAAGCCCTGTGCAGTGGCATAGATGCCAACGCACATAGTAAGAGCAGGAGTTGGCCAACTGTGGAAGGGATGTGGGGACCCTTCCTTAGGGCTAAACCACAGTGTCCGAATTAAACACGCTAACCCGTATTGCACCTGATGCGGCACCTGGCCATGAGTGTACGGCCCTCAGTCCGTGTGGTGCTCTTCCCTGCCAACACCGAGATTTAGGAAAATAAATATTCACAGAATTTCAGTGTCACAAATCCTATGGCCATTAACAGGACTCACAACGTTTTAAATGTGGTATGATTCCATTCTTTTTTTTTTGAGACGGGAGTTTCGCTCTTGTTACCCAGGCTGGAGTGCAATGGCGCGATCTCGGCTCACCGCAACCTCCGCCTCCTGGGTTCAGGCAATTCTCCTGCCTCAGCCTCCTGAGTAGCTGGGATTACAGGCACGCGCCACCATGCCCAGCTAATTTTTTGTATTTTTAGTAGACACGGGGTTTCACCATGTTGACCGGGATGGTCTCGATCTCTTGACCTCGTGATCCACCCGCCTCGGCCTCCCAAAGTGCTGGGATTACAGGCTTGAGCCACAGCGCCCGGCCGGTATGATTCCATTCTGATGAGTAATACTGAACCCATCAAATGATGAGCTTCGCATGATTGATTGATTGATTTTTTTTGAGACAAGAGTCTCACTCCATCACTGGGCGCCAGGGCTGGAGTGCAGTGGCGTAACCTCGGCTCACTGCAACCTCCGCCTCCTGGGCTCACGCAATTCTCCTGCCTCAGCCTCCCAAGCAGCTGGGATTACAGGCGTGCACCACCACGCCCAGCTAATTTTTTTGTATTTTTAGTAGAGACGGGGTTTCACCATGTTGGTCAGGATGGTCTCGATCTCTCGACCTTGTGATCCACCCGCCTCGGCCTCCCAAAGTGCTGGGATTACAAGCTTGAGCCACTGCGCCCGGCTGCATGATTTAAAAAATCGAATTCTTCCAATAGGGAAGGGCAGGAAGGACTTGCTCACCTCACCTTGGAGGACAAGCAGGAGGAGGTGTTCTGGAAGCCTGAGGGAGACCATCCCATCCTATTAGCACTTCAGGACATGGGAATTTCATGTATGTTCTGCCTAATGGTGGAAAGCAGCAAAGTCTTTCTGTCTAAAAATGATCTAGGCTAGGTAGAGTGGCTCACACTTGTAATCCCAGCACTTTGGGAGGCCAAGGAGGGTGAATCACCTGAGGAGTTTGAGACCAGCCTGGCCAACGTGGTAAAACCTCGTCTCTACTAAAAGTATAAAAATCAGCCAGGTGTGGTAGTGCATGCCGGTAGTCCCAGCTACTAGGGAGGCTGAGGCAGGAGAACTGCTTGAACCCAGGAGGCGGAGGTTGCAGTGAGCCGAGATCACACCACTGTACTCCAGCCTAGGTGACAGACACTTCATCTAAAAAACAAAAATAAAAATAGAAGTGATCTACATAGGCTGAGAAATGGCTTAGAAACGTAAGCCAGATCAAAACCAGTTTTCACGGGAGGGCAAGGAATGGAGCCGTAACGAACGCAGCCGAGAAGCAAGCGGGCCAGACAGTGGCTGCGCTCTTGCGAGGTGTTCCCAGCGTTGGGATAGCTCCTGAGATACCGCAGACCTTAGGAGGATGTTCTTAGAGCCAAAATTTAATATTCTAAAACTAAAATGAGGACATTCCTCCAGATGCCAGTTAAGACGTCAGCCTGGCCTCTGAGCTGTCCCGGGGCAGGGATTGCCAGCCACACTCGTGGGAGTGTTTTGCAGCGTCTGTTGGGGACCGGGTAGTGACGGGGTCTGTCCTTTCCCTTCCAGCCGCCCATCATCAGGGCCCGGCCTCAGTACCCTCCTCCAGGTCCTACACAACTGGTCCGGCATCCACCCACAAGCGCCCCTCTGCCGCCCTCATTGCCTGGGAGCTGCTCCGCACTCAGGGCCTGGCGGGGCTCTACAGGGGCCTGGGTGCCACTCTCCTCAGGTGAGCCTTTCTTCCAGTCCCCCAGGACGCGTGCACGGGAGGGCACAGGGCCAGAGGGCTGGCTCTCCCTCTCTGCCTGTCCTTCCCGGAATATCCAAACCCAGGTGGGCAGACCATTTCCATGCTTCCTGTTCTGTCGAGAACTGGCGACGGTGGCACAGAATGGGTACGTGGAGACTAATGTTTACGGCCCTGTCTCCACTGCCCAGGCACACAGGAAGGCTGGGTGTTTTGTGGCCCAAAGGCACGTCAGAAAGCCCTGTCTACAGAGCACTGCAGACTTGGTAGTAAATGCAAAGCCACGCCCCCCCATCCACCCTGGGCCTGCCTGCCCCTTTACAGAACAGTCTCCAGCCTCAGACTTGCCTCTGGCAGTCAAGAGGCTGCAGGTGCTACAGGGCAGAGGAAGGTGCTGGGAGGGCGGGACGGACAGCAACAGCTCTTTTGTCCCCTGCTGTCCCTTACCCAGGCTCACGGGGTGCCGAAGCAGGGACGAGTCGTAGCGGCTCCTGACCGCGAGCCCTACAGCTCACAGCAGAGCTCACCGTCTGACCTTGGGTGGCAGCCCCAGGGTGGATCGGAGCTCAGTGCTGCTTCCTCTTCTGCAGAGACATTCCCTTCTCCGTCATCTACTTCCCGCTGTTTGCCAACCTTAACAACCTGGGGATCGACGAGCTCGCCGGTAAGGCGTCCTTTGCACATTCCTTCACGTCAGGCTGCGTGGCAGGTTCCGTAGCTGCGGTCGCAGTGACGCCTCTGGATGGTGAGGATGTGGGAGACGTGTGGTTTCTGTGGCATAAACAGCACTTCGGCACTATTAGACCCCGGAAGACCTTGGTTTGCGAACTGGCTGTCTAGAGGCTGTCTTGGAGACAGTGCCCAGAGACCCTGCTTTTCTGTTTCTCACCCCGACACATCCCCTCGCCTTCAAGATGCTGATTCCTTTAGCTTTTTGTCCCCTCAGAAGAGTCGTGAGCCTCAGCTATAAGTGATTGCTGATGTTTTAAAATTTGGGGCTGGCCAGGCACGGTGGCTCACGCCTGTAATACCAGCACTTTGGGAGGCCGAGGTGGGCACATCACCTGAGGTCAGGAGTTCGAGACCAGCCTGGCCAACATGGCGAAATCCCGACTCTACTAAAAATACAAAAGAATTAGCTGGGTGTGGTGGCAGGGGTTCCTGTAGTCCCAGCTACTTGGGTGGCTGAGGTAGGAGAATTGCCTGAACCCGGGAGGTGGAGGTTGCAATGAGCCGAGACCGCGCCACTGCACTCCAGCCTGGGTAACAGCAGGAGACCCCATCTCAAATAAATAAATAAATAAATAAATAAATAAATAAATAAATAAATAAAATTTGAGGCTACAGGTGGGAGCTAAACCCAGTGTGAGAAGACAGTGTTTCCCCTGAGTTCGGGCTGCTTCCAGCCCCCCAAACATGTATAGGCAGACTTCCTATACCAATAGTAACCTGGTCAAGTGTGGCAGCTCACACCTGTAATCCCAGCACTTTGGGAGGCCAAGACAGGTGCCCAGAGTTCAAGACCAGCTTGGGCAACAGAGACCCTGTCTGTAAAAAAAGTAAACATTAGCTGGGTGTGGTGGTGCATTCCTGTAGTCCCAGCTGCTTCGGGAGGCGGAGGTGGCAAGATCGCTTGAGCCCAGATGGTTAAGACTGTAGTGAGCTGTGATCGTGCCACGCCACTCCAGCTGGGGCAACAGAGCAAGACCCCGTCTCAACAAAAGCGGGGCCACAGTAACGCGACTCATTTAGTTTATGGCTGAGGCCCACAGAGGACACCTCCATTTACAGACCACACAATGGCAGAAGCGGCCTCATGACTCAGCTTTGTATGCAGTGGCTCTAAAGGAGGACCCAGCCCCTGGGAGGGGAGGACACTGAAAGCAAGCTGTTCTTCACTCACTTTAACTTTTACTTGATTTAGTTCTGAAAACGCGAATCCAAACCCTCAAGAAAGGCCTGGGTGAGGACACGTACAGCGGGATCACCGACTGTGCCAGGTGAGCGCCAGTGTCCTCTCAAACGGTGGCTGGGACACGTTCCTCTGCGTGGGTGTCTGCCTAGACCACATGTAGAGATCAGCTTGAATGCAGGGCTCCGGGTTTCTTTCTTTCTTTTTTTTTTTGAGACAGAGTTTCGCCCTCGTTACCCAGGCTGGAGTGCAATGGCGCGATCTCGGCTCACCGCAACCTCCGCCTCCTGGGTTCAGGCAATTCTCCTGCCTCAGCCTCCTGAGTAGCTGGGATTACAGGCACGTGCCGCCATGCCCAGCTAGTTTTTTTGTATTTTTAGTAGAGACGGGGTTTCACCATGTTGACCAGGATGGTCTCGATCTCTTGACCTTGTGATCCACCCGCCTCGGCCTCCCAAAGTGCTGGGATTACAGGCTGAGCCACCGCGCCCGGCCAGGGCTCCGGGTTTCTTTGAAGTGTTTCCCTTTCCCTCACCTCCCAAAGAAAACAGGATGTACTGGGAGCCTTTCTCTTCCCGGCACCCCTGCAGCGCCTCTCACGGAAGATTCCAGCCACACCACGCTCCCTTCCAAGGCCTTGACCTAACTGCCTACGTAACCACCCTGCGTGCACCCGGCAGGCAGCTCCCACACCCTGGACCCTTGGCTCTTGCTGTGCAAGGCTCTGTTCTCGAAGGACAGGTGCGCAGGCGGAGACGCTGCCACTTAGGGCTGCCTGCAGAGTGCCCCTGCCCATCGGCTCACCGGCTCTTCTTTCTCCACAGGAAACTCTGGAGTCAGGAGGGACCGTCTGCCTTCCTGAAAGGCGCTGGCTGCCGGGCGCTGGTCATAGCACCTCTCTTTGGGATTGCTCAAGGGGTCTATTTCATTGGGATTGGAGAGCGCGTCTTAAAGCTTTTTGAATAGACAGAGCTGGCGGTCAAGTCCCGGTGCGCACGGCCCTGTCTCTAGCCCATTTCACTTAGCCTAGAAGGCACAAGGGCAGGCGAGGCCACCCTGGCCTGTCTTGTCACGTTGTAGTGCCACCTCCACCTCACTCTAACAGCACGTTGAGCACAGCCTTCTCCTTGGTGTCTACGCTCGTTTCCTTTGCGGGCACGGCTACCCGGGGCTTTCGGAAGCTCATAACCACCTACTTTTCAACAAGAACAGTTACTTGCTTTAGTTGTATTAACTGCAGGACTTTAACAGGTTGTCAAGATAGAAGGGTTGTTTCTATGTTTTACCATTTGTTTCTTCTGTTTCACAAACTCGGCATTCTTCAGTCAGCTTGAGGATTTCGCTGTTCATCTTGAATTCCGTAACTGATGATGAGTCCTAGCACTGATTTTGAGGAAAAGGAGGATCAGGAGTGCAAGGGACCATGAAAAACCTCAAAGTCAGCACCTAGTTTGAGACCAGGCACCCTTTCGAGTCCTCGGATGGCTGAGGGCTGAGGCTGGCTGCGAGTCAGCAGCCCGGCCCCTCCCCCAGAGTCCAGGCTCTCGAAGACCCCCCCCCCTTTCTGCAGAACACTATTTGAAATAAAGGTGAACGGTTACACCCCACCTGTGCATCCGTGCGCACAGCACATAGGCTGCAGTGAATGGTGTCACCAGCTACTTTTCTACATCCATTTCAAAACCAAATATTAAAAAGGGTGTGGAGGCAGGCCCCCGTCACTCTTCCAACTGTTACTTCTGGGGGTGGAGGAACGCAGCCACAGGGTTGACCGTGAGCGACACCGGTTTTAGGCCCGATTCTACCCCTCCCTGAGCGCATCCTCTGGAGGAATGGAATGTGCCGGGAGAGCTCCCCTCGTGCACCTCAGCTCCTCCACGACAGGCCGCTCAGAAGTAATGTCACACCCCCGGGGCCTGAGAAGCCAGCACCTGCTGCAGGAGGTGTTTGTTTACATTAGTCCCCACCTGCTGCGAAACCTGGGCTGATGAGGAAGAGGTCGGTGCTAACGTGGTCCCATGGCCGTGGGGACGTCACTGTAACGAAAACCGCATCTGAGTTGGAGTCCCAGCTCCACCATGTACTGGCGGTGAGGCCCCGGGCAGCTCTAGTCGTCACCTGTGGAAGAGACAGGATCTGGGCCCTGCACACAGTGACTGGCTCCAAAGTAACCTGGTTTTCCTCACAGGGCAACACTAATAACACCATTTCCTCACTGAAGTGGTAGAGCCCTTCCAGAGGCCAGGTCACACTGGAGACCGTGTGAGGGGTGTGGGAGATCACAAGGCCTGGAAGGAACGCTCCCGGGTGATGGGCTGGGAACACCGGGCAAGAGCCCGGGGGACACCCAGAGGGCCAGCGGGTCCAGGCGCTGACAGCTGTCAGTTACCATCCAGTGCCACGGGAATGTGGAAAATACTTCTTTTCTAGGTGCCTCCGTAAAAATGTAACTCTCTCAAAGCCTAAGTTAATAGTGCCTTACACTAGAAATCACATTAATTCCACATAACTCTTTTAATAAATAAAGCACATCCATGGCTTAGATTCTGAATCACATTTACAGAAGAGGGAAAACTTCTAGACCTAAACACGGAACAGTGAAGCAACTACAGGACGAAGTGGTGTGCCACATGCACCTTAGGCCTCAAGAGTGGGGAATGCAGGGCCGAGAACGCCAGACACGTCACCTCTACGCCAGACAGAGAACGGAGACCCAGGGAGCCCATGCAACCACCACCTGCCCCTCCCCTAGTGTGCTGACCCAACCGGACGCTGTGCTACTTTCAGATGAACTGGAGGAGGGTCTTGATCATATTACATGAAGCTTTCCGCCATTGTGAACAATCAGGCAAGGCCTTAGAGACAGAGAGAGGGGCATCACTGATAAATACAGAGCAACAACGGGCGGTAAAGGGGAAGCTACAGAGACATCGTGTTTCTTCAAATATCAGAAGCTTCCACGTCACAGCAGGAGAGCCGAGGATGAGCTCCACCTCCCGGAGGCTTAGTCCAAAAACTTCCTGTTGGCATTCGCACCGAACAAGGCTCCTCGGACTTCTGGCATCATCTGGAGAGAGTGTAATAAACACGCAACATCAGCTGAGCAGGTTGTAGAGCACGGCACATCTTAACCACAGGCAGAGAGCCACGAACCTCTGCGTGCCCGGGAAGGGCTCATGAAGCCACGGACACCGCCGCCGAAGCACAGAAACACACTGTGCTTAACTTAACTCATCCCAAATCTGGGGTTCAGACTGCGTACAAAAGGGACACATTTAAAATAAAAAACCTAGCCAGGCGCGGAGGCTCACGCCTGTAATCCCGGCACTTTGGGAGGCCGAGGTGGGAGGATCACAGGGTTTGGAGTTCAAGACCAGCCAGACCAACATGGTGAAACCCCGTCTTTAATAAAAAATAAATAAAAAACCTAAAGTCATTACTATCTCAGGCTTAACTCAAAATCATCTCACCACAATATTCTGGGTCACCTACACTCTCTCTTCAACACACACACACACACACACACTGAGTGCCTCCTATGGCCCGCACGGAAGAACACTGCCAATGCCGGTTCAGGCTGCAGCACTTGTTACAGCCACTGACGAATCCTCAGGAGAATTTAACCCTGGACTTCTAAGGCTCTGCTGTCAACAGGACAGCCCTAGCAACAGGTGGTGATTGTGTGCTGAGAAGCAGAACTTTTTGGTTTAATTAAATATCCCTAAGTGGGTAGCGGCTCTGATACTGGATGGGACAGGGGCTACCAGGAAACGCTGCTCTGAAGTTTAAGTTACCAGAATATGGAAAAAATCAAGGTGAAAGTGCTTTGAAAGAATGGCCTCGGAGGCAATGCCACACATCTACAACCATCTGATCTTCGACAAACCTCACAAAAACAAGCAATGGGGAAAGCATTCCCTGTTTAATAAATGGTGTTGCGAAAACTGGCTAGCCATGTGCAGAAAGCAGAAACGGAACCCCTTCCTGACACCTTACACTAAAATTAATTCTAGATGGATTAAAGACTTAAACATAAGACCTAACACCATAAAAACCCTGGAAGAAAATCTACGCAAAACCGTTCAGGACATAGGCACAGGCAAGGACTTCATGACCAAAACACCAAAAGCACTGGCAATAAAAGTCAAAATGTCTAGACAAATGGGACCTAATCAAACTCCACAGCTTCTGCACAGCAAAAGAAACAGTCATTAGAGCGAATCAGCAACCAACAAAATGGGAAAAAAATTTTTGTAGTTTACCCATCTGACAAAGGGCTAATATCCAGAATCTACAAAGAACTAAAACAGATTTACAAGAAAAAAACAAGCCCATTCAAAAGTGGGCAAAGGATACGAACAGACACTTTATAAAAGACATAGCTGGGCACGGTGGCTCACGCCTGTAATCCCAGCACTTTAGTAGGAGACTGAGGCAGGTGGATCAAGAGGTCAAGAGATCAAGACCATCCTGGTCAACATGGTGAAACCCTGTCTCTACTAAAAATACAAAAAATTAGCTGGGCATGGTGGCGCGTGCCTGCAATCCCAGCTACTCAGGAGGCTGAGGCAGGAGAATTGCCTGAACCCAGGAGGCGGAGGTTGCGGTGAGCCGAGACAGCACCATTGCACTCCAGCCTGGGTAACAAGAGCGAAACTCCGTCTCAAAAAAAAAAAAAAAAAGACATATATGAGGCCAACAAACATATGAAAAACTGCTCATCATCACTGGTCATTAGAGAAATGCAAATCAAAACTACATTGAGATACCATCTCACACCAGTTAGAATGGCGATCATTAAAAAATCTATGCACATAGCCGGGCGCAGTGGCTCAAGCCCGTAATCCCAGCACTTTGGGAGGCCGAGGCGCATGGCTCACGAGAGTCAAGAGATCGAGACCATCCTGGTCAACATGGTGAAACCCCGTCTCTACTAAAAATGCAAAAAATTAGCTGGGCGTGGTGGCGCGTGCCTGTAATCCCAGCTACTCAGGAGGCTGAGGCAGGAGAATTGCCTGAACCCAGGAGGCAGAGGTTGCGGTGAGCCGAGATCGCGCCATTGCACTCCAGCCTGGGTAACAAGAGCGAAACTCCCTCTCATAAAAAAAAAAAAAAAAAAGAACAAAAGTGTCTCAAAAAAAACGAAACAAAAAACCAAGTTATTTGCTTTAGTTCCCATCATTCGTATTAGAGAAAGAACCTGTCAGCACCTTCCATGCAGTGAAATGTACACATTTGAATCCTAAGTCAACAAAACCCTAACTCTGACCCCAAATTTGCCCTCATGTAAATGGTATCACCTTAGCAAATGCTACTACATTCCCAGCTCTCATTCTTTTTGAGAAAATGTCCAAAACTGTGGAAAGACAGCAACAAACCCCGAATACCAGCGAATAGATGTGTTCTCTGTCCTTCAAAGTTCACAGACCAAATCCCAAGAAGTACCCACACTCACCTGCTGCGCTATGAGGTCCAGCCGGCTTTCCAGGGTGTTGGAAACCTTTATTTTACGATCCCCATTATAGATCTCAACTCCACCAGCTCTACAAAAACAGCACAGGAAATAATCACTTTCAAACACTGAGACACACTGTACCCTTTATTCCCGCAGAGGAACGCCCTGCGTGCGCAACTAGGCACCAGGTTTGCGAAGACAGTCTCCAGGCCCAGGCACGGTTGCTTTCAGGACACCCTGTCCCTGCCCAGATGTTCAAGTCCATCATACGCAACAGTGTAGTATTTGCATACGACCATCACACATCCTCCCTATACTGTAAATCGAGCCTACAGCGCTTACCATAGCGAACACAACGTAAATGGTTGTTATACTGCAGTGTTTAGGGAGCAAAAAGAAAAGGTGGTTAAATCCACAGGGGTGGACCCCAAAGACAGAGAATGGACTATATTCGTGTCAATAACTGTCATTTACCAAGTGACGCTATGTGTCAATTTGGTTTTTTTTTTTTGAGTCAGAGTCTCACTCAACTCTGTTGCCCAGGCGGGAGAGTGCAATGGTGCCATCTCGGCTCACTACAACCTCCGCCTCCTGAGTTCAAGTGATGCTCCCGTCTCAGCCTCCTCAGCAGCTGGGATTACAGCCACCCGCCGCCATGCCCAGCTTGTTTCTGTATTTTTGTAGAGATGTGATTTCACCATGTTGGCCAGGCTGGTCTCGAACTCCTGACCCTGTGATCCACCTGCCTTGTCCTCCCAAAGTGCTTGGATTACAGGTGTGAGCCACCACACCTGACCTCATCTGAATGTTTTCTTGAGCCCAATCCAGCTCATCACCGATAAGCAGTGAGGCCCTATCATGACTGCATGTGTGTCTGATAAAAGATGCCACTGCTGGCTTGGCACGATGGCGCACGCCTATAATCCCAGCACTTTGGGAGGTTGAGGCAGGTGGGTTGCTTGCAGTCACAAGTTTGAGACCAGCCTGGCCAACATGGTGTAACCTCATCTCCACTAAAAACACAAAAATCAGCTGGGCATGGTGGGCTGCACCTGTAGTCCCAGCTACTTGGAAGGCTGAAGCAGGAGAATCACTTGAACTCAGGAGGCAGAGACCGTGGTGAGCCAGTATCATGCCAATGAACTCCAGCCTGGGCAACAGAGAGACCCTAACTCCAAAAAAGCTATGAGGTGGGTGCTATTATGGTGATTTGCAGATGAAGCAATCAGGGCTCACTGCTATGCTATGAGTCTGGTCCCTCAAAAACTCATGGTGAAGCCCGATTCCTAATGAGGCAGTGTTGGGAGTGTTCAGCGCTGGGGGCAGATCCCGAGGCAATGAATTCTGGCGAGGGCCTAGATTCTAGCTTCAGTAGGACTTGAGTGTGAGCAGAGGGTGGGCTGGTATGACAGGGAGTCTGGCTCCCTAGGCTCCTCCACCTCCTCTCCTGCCACATGGTCTCTATACACACATCCACTCCCCTTCTATCTCTGCCACGAGTGGAAGCAGCCTGAGGTCCTCACCAGACCCAGCTGTCCAATCTTCAACTTCCCAGCAATGAGAATCATGCACCAAAGAAACCTCTTCTCTCCATGAATTACCCAGCCTCGGGTGTTCTGTTACAGCAACACTCAGTGGACTACGGCCCTCAGTGAAACAATAACGAGTCCAAGGTTACCCAGCCATTAAGTGGCAGAATGGGGACTCAAACCCAACTCTGACAGCAAGCCTTCCAAGTTTATAGACCTTTTCCATTTACAGAGCACTTTCACACGGACTATCTCATCTTTTCTTCGCTGCATGAAACAAAAAAGCAAAAAGCATTGATCCCATTTCACAGATGATGAATTCAGTCTCCAGGTCCAGGCAAAAGGCCAAGCTAGGACTCAAATCTAGATCTTACAGTCCTAAGTCTGATAATCGACTAAGTTCAAAATGTGTCCAACGGACTTTCTTCAATGTTAGTCAGTGTGTGGCTAGCTGGCCTCATACAGGCTGGGGAAATAGAGAAACTGACCCTGGCTCTCCCCGGCAGGAGCTTCCCCTGCCTACCTCAACCACGTGAAGCTCATTAGGGATGCTTATCCCAGACATGTTCTGTCATCTCCTCACAGCTGGAAAAATACCACTCGTACCTGCAATTCTATCTTTAAGGATCATAATTACTAGGCATACACAATTCTTGATTTGATAACTATTGTTTAGAAGGAGGGAGTATTGGGGTGGGTACAGTGGCTCACATCTGTGATCCCAGCATTTTGGGAGGCCAAGGCGGGTGGATCATCTGAGGTCGGGAGTTCAAGACCAGTCTGACCAATATGGAGAAACACCATCTCTACCAAAAATACCAAATTAGCCGGGCATGGACTTGGGAGGCCGAAGCAGGAGAACTGGCTGAACCCAGGAGGTGGAGGTCGCGATGAGCAGAGACTGCACCATTGCACTCCAGCCTGGGCAATAAGAGCAAAACTCTACCTCAAAAACAAAACAAAACAAAACAACAACAAAAAAAACAAAACATAAAAGAAGGAGTATCTACCTCAGCATCCAATACAAAGATCCGGTCCTAGCTTTTACCCTGGGTGCCACCTCACTGCGGAAGGAATGCAGTGCCCATCAACTAGACCCCCTCTTTTGAGATGGGAGTCTTGCTCTGTCACCAGGCTGGAGTGCAGTGGTGCGATCTCAGCTGCCCGCAACCTCCGCCTCCTTCATTCAAGCAATTCTCTTGCCTCAGCCTCCTGAGCAGCTGGGATTACAGGCACGTGTCACCACGCCCAGCTAATTTTTTTTTTTTTTTTTTTCCTGAGACAGAGTTTCGCTCTTGCTGCCCAGGCTGGAGTGCAATGGTGCAATCTCAGCTCACAGCAAACTCTGCCTCCCGAGTTCAAGCGATTCTCCTGACTCAGTCTCCCGAATAGCTGGGATTACAGGCGCCCATCACCACGAGGAGTTAATTTTTGTATTTTGAGTAGAGATGAGGTTTCACCCTGTTGGCCAGGTTGGTCTTGAACTCCTGACCTCAGGTGATCCACCCACCTCAGTCTTCCAAAGTGCTGGGATTACAGGCGTGAGCCACTGTGCCTGGACAAACTAGACTTTTACAGTACATTTAGCTGGCTAGCAAGGGAGAGCACCACAGAACAGAGCACTGACAGAACAACAGGAGCAGCTGCAAGTGGAACACACCACGGCTCTAGCCTTTTGCCTAGAGTGTGCTGCTGAAAATACCCTTTAAAAAGGGCCCAGTGTAAAGGCCACTTCTCCGAGGGAAAGAAGGTAGATGTTAGCAGCAGGAATACTCCTTACATGTCCTCAGGCAGGTAGGACTCCTGGTCAATTTGGACATCAACATCGTTTTTGGTGGCAATTTTGTACATTGGGATTGCCTTTTGCACTGCAGCCTGGAAATACAGAAAACAATGAGAGGCATTACTAGAAACTATGAAGCTATTACCCAAAAACTCCACAAACTACACAGGCAAAGATATTTCCATTTATCCCACGAAGAACAGAAGCCCTGCTGCTGGGAATGTACAACAGCACAGCCACTGGGGAAAAACGACAGTCTGCACACAGGAGGGAAGAGACACGAACAGCTTCTGTCAATATTTAATAGGGTGGATGGGCGTAGTGAGTCACGCCAGTAATCCCAGCACTTTGGGAGGCCGAGGTGGGTGGATCATGAGGTCAAGAGCTCAAGACCATCCTGGCCAACATGGTGAAACCCCGTCTCTACTAAAAATACAAAAATTAGCTGGGCATGGTGGCATATCCCTATAATCCCAGCTACTCTGGTGGCTGAGGCAGAAGAATTATTTGAACCAGGGAGTCGGCGGTTACAGTGAGCTGAGATCGTGCCACTGCACTCTAGCCTGGCAACAGAGGGAGACTCTGTCTCAATAAAACAAAAAAAGGCCGGGTGTGGTGGCTCACACCTGTAATCCCAGCACTTTGGGAGGCTGAAGCGGGTGGATCACGAGGTCAAGAGGTCAAGACCATCCTGGTCAACACAGTGAAACCCAAACCCCATCTCTACTAAAAATACAAAAAATTAGCTGGGCGTGGTGGCACGTGCCTGTAATCCCAGCTACTCAGGAGGCTGAGGCAGGAGAATTGCCTGAACCCAGGAGGCGGAGGTTGCGGTGAGCCAAGACTGCGTCACTACAGCCTGGGTAACAGTAGCAAAATTCCGTCTCAAAAAAAAAAAAAAAAAAGCCAGGCGCGGTGGCTCAAGCCTGTAATCCCAGCACTTTGGGAGGCCAAGGCGGGTGGATCACGAGGTCAAGAGATCGGGACCATCCTGGTCAACACGGTGAAACCCCGTCTCTACTAAAAATACAAAAAATTAGCTGGGCATGGTGGCGCACGCCTGTAGTCCCAGCTACTCGGGAGGCTGAGGCAGGAGAATTGCCTGAACCCAGGAGGCGGAGGTTGCGGTGAGCCGAGATCGCGCCATTGCACTCCAGCCTGGGTAACGAGCGAAACTCCGTCTCAAAAAAAAAAAAAATACGAAAAATGTTGAGCATGGTGGCACATGCCTGTTATCCCAGCTACCTGAGAGGCTGAGGCAGGAAAATCGCTTGAACCCAGGAGATGAAAGTTGCAGTGAGCTGAGATCACGCCATTGTACTCCAGCCTGGGCAATAAGAGGAAAACTCCAACGCAAATTTAAAAAGGCAAATATATTTATATTTATAATGAGAAATGTAATTGACAGGGGACTAAGCACTCACCTCCTTATCCTTGCCCTAAAGTAACATACATGGAAGAAAAATTTTAATCTCGAGAGCAACCTGAGAACTCGACTCAGAGCTGACCATCCTCTTTGGGTGCCCAAATTCTTCCTCTAGGTACAGGAACACACTGAGTGAGGTCAGAGTCAGACTTGCTTGTCTGGCATTAGGCTACCTCCCAAGATGGCATTACCTATCTTTGTTCCAATCCAAAGTGTTGCTTCTATTATTTGATTTTTAGGTTTCAGAATTACCAAGTTCCTAGAAAGAGAGGAGGGTACTAGCTTGTCCTCTTAAGAAAACACACTAGATGCCGGGTGCGGTGGCTCAAGCCTGTAATCCCAGCACTTTGGGAGGCCGAGGCGGGTGGCTCACGCCGAGGTCAAGAGACCGAGACCATCCTGGTCAACAAAACACACTAGAGGCTAAAGTACACTTAAATTAATACATACAATGTGTTAAAACTCTAATTCCTATGGTTCAGCTGTTTTGTATTAGAACATGCACTTCATCCTAACATTTTGATCTTTAGAAAAAAAAAGAGAGAAATTATTACATAAGTTCTTTACCTTTACCAGAGGGAAATCTTGTTTCCTGCATCGAACAATCATTCGGGGCTCCAGCAACTGGTACAAACCCTGGAAGAAAGAGTCCATACAATTAGCAGAAAATACAAACTATAAAATAAAGCAACAGTCCGGCGCTGTGGCTCAGGCCTGTAATCCCAGCACCAAAAGCAGGCCAAGGCAGGCAGACTGCCTGATCCCAGACCAGCCTAGGCAACACGGCAAAACCCCATCCCTACAAAAAATAGGAAAAATCAGCCAGGCATGATGGTGCATGCCGATAAATCCCAGCTACTCAGGAGGCCGAGGCAGGAGAACGGCCTGAGCCCAGGAGGTGGAGGGTGTTGTAAAGCACAATGACGCCACTGCACTCAGCCTGGGCGACAGAGCAAGACTCTGTTTCCAAAAATAAAATTTAAAATAAAATAAAGCAACCGTAAAATAAGATGTTTCTAGACTTCTTTGATTTAGGTTGGAAAAATGTCCCCCAGTAAGTTCCACTAACAGATGGCATATGCCACATAAGAACATGGAAAGATCCATCTACCACAGCTCAGGTAAATGGACACAAACCTTTGGTGGTAGAAACAAAATTCATACAGACGCCTTATCTTACATCAGCCAAGCTGAGGACAATTATTACTGTCAATAACGTAAGTAAATAAGGAGTCACAGCTCAGCAATAAACAATCAAAACATATACAGTGTTTGGTCTGAATCCTTAATCTAAAGCAAATATTTTAGTGGCAAAATCAAATTAAGGGAATTTAAAGGTAGCCATTGCAAGCAAATCTGACCCTTAAGTCATGTAAACCTACATAAATGAGTAGTAGACCTGGAACCAGTCTTATCCAACAAGCCAGATTTACCGTCTTCCTATGCAGCACATAGTTCAGACACGGTCAAGAGTAAAAGGAAAAAAGGGAAAAGCAAAAAAAAAAAAAAGGGGTGGGGGGTGAAAGGGAAAAAAACTATGATGAGAGAACAGGAAAAACAGAGCTGGTCTCTTAATAGACACTCTAAATTTTCTCAGAACGGTAGCTGTAAACAGTAGATCTGGTCTTTGAGGGTACCTGGAGAACCAGTCCATCCAGCAGCACTTGGTACCTGGTTGTATCTTTTACCACCTTGCTGAGCCTCTGTTTCGCTTCATTTAGTAGGTCCTACAAATATTAGAAAAGATAAAAGTTATCTACACATCTGGGCAGTCGGCTCAAAACCCACTGCGAGGCTGGTCCTGGCTCATGTCCAGCTGCCCACATTTTATTGCTGGGTTTTCATTCAACACACATTCCCTGAGATCTGAGATAAAGCAGGGGCCGTGCCGGGTACAAAGAAACACGTAACACCATCTCTGCTCCCAGGGAGCACACGGCCTAGCAGAGAAGAGCTCAGGTAACCAGCAGTTCAGAAATCGACACAAGTGGGTTTGTGACTTTGAAAAGTAAGCTATCAAAATGGTTGTACATGATTATCCCGTTTTAATTTTTAAGGGAAAAAAACCAGATGTCTGGCTATAGATTAAAACACCAACAATCTACCTCTGGAAGGCTAGATTATGAATAATTTCAAGAATTTTTTTTTTTGAGATGGAGTTTTGCTCTCGTTGCCTAGGCTGGAGGGCAATGGCGCGATTTCGGCTCACGGCAACCTCCGCCTCCTGGATTCGATTCTCCTGCCTCAGCCCCCTGAGTAACTGTGATTATAAGGCGCCCGCCACCACGCCCAGCTAATTTTTTTTTTTTTAATTGCATTTTAGGTTTTGGGGTACATGTGAAGAACATGCAAGACTGTTGCATAGGTACACACAAGGCAGTGTGGTATGCTGTCTTCCGTCCCCTCACCTGTATCTGTCATTTCTCCCCATGCTATCTCTTCCCACCTCCCCACCTCCCCGTCCCTCCCCCATTTCCCCCCAACGGACCCCAGTGTGTAGTGCTCCCCTCCCTGTGTCCACGTGTTCTCATTGTTCAACACCCACCTATGAGTGAGAACATGCGGTGTTTGATTTTCTGCTCTTGTGTCAGTTTGCTGAGAATGATGGTTTCCAGGTTCATCCATGTCCCTACAAAGGACGTGAACTCATCATTTTTGATGGCTGCGTAATATTCCATGGTGTATATGTACCACATTTTCCCTGCCCAGTCTATCATCGATGCGCATTTGCGTTGGTTCCAGGTCTTTGCTATTGTAGACAGTGCTGCAATGAACATTCGTGTGCACGTGTCCTTGTAGTAGAATGATTTATAATCCTTTGGATATATACCCAGTAATGGGATTGCTGGGTCAAATGGGATTTCTATTTTTAGGTCCTTGAGGAATCGCCACACTGTCTTCCACAATGGTTGAATTAATTTACATTCCCACCAACAGTGTAAAAGTGTTTCTATTTCTCCACATCCTCTCCAGCAGCTGTTGTTTCCAGATTTTTTTTTTTTTTTTGGAGACGGAGTTTCGCTCTTGTTACCCAGGCTGGAGTGCAATGGCGCGATCTCGGCTCACCGCAACCTCCGCCTCCTGGGTTCAGGCAATTCTCCTGCCTCAGCCTCCTGAGTAGCTGGGATTATAGGCACGTGCCACCATGCCCAGCTAATTTTTAAAATATTTTTAGTAGAGACGGGGTTTCACCATGTTGACCAGGTTGGTCTCGATCTCTCAACCTCGTGATCCACCCGCCTCGGCCTCCCAAAGTGCTGGGATTACAGGCTTGAGCCACCGCGCCCGGCTTTTTTTTTTTTAATTTAGAAACACTCTGTTTCTAATTTAGGTCTCACTCTGTTGTCCAGGCTGGAGTGCACTGACACCATCACATCTCACTGCAGCCTCCACCTCCGGGGCTCCAGCCATCCTCCCACCTCAGCCTCTGGAGGAGCTGGGACCACAGGCACACGCCACCATGCCCAGCTAATTTTTGTATTTTTAGTAGAGACGGGGTTTCACCGTGTTGACCAGGATGGTCTCGATCTCTTGACCTTGTGATCCACCCGCCTCGGCCTCCCAAAGTGCTGGGATTACAGGCTTGAGCCACAGCGCCCGGCTGTTTCCAGATTTTTTAATGATCGCCATTCTAACTGGTGTGAGATGGTATCTCAACGTGGTTTTGATTTGCATTTCTCTGATGACCAGTGATGATGAGCATTTTTTCATATGTTTGTTGGCTTCCTGTATGTCTTCTTTTGTAAAGTATCTGTTCATATCCTTCGCCCATTTTTGAATGGGCTTTTTTTTTTTTTTCTTGTAGATCTGCTTTAGTTCTTTGTAAATTCTGGATATCAGCCCCTTGTCAGATGGGTAGGCTGCAAAAATTTTTTCCCATTCTGTTGGTTGCCGATTCAATCTACTGACTGTTTCTTTTGCCGTGCAGAAGCTGTGGAGTTTGATTAGGTCCCATTTGTCTATTTTGGCTTTTGTTGCCATTGCTTTTGGCGTTTTGGTCATGAAGTCCTTGCCTACACCTATGTCCTGAATGGTTTGGCCTAGATTTTCTTCTAGGGTTTTTTTGTATTTTTAGTAGAGACAGGGTTTTGCCATCTTGGCCAGGCTGGTCTTGAACTCCGGAACTCAGGTGATCTGCCTGCCTCAGCCTCCCAAAGTGCTGGGACTGCTGGCGTGAGCCACCGCGCCCAGCTGTTTGTTTCTGAGACAGGGTCTTGCTCTGTTGCCCAGGCTGCGGTGCAGTGATGCAATCATGGCTTACTACAGCCTTGACCATCCAGGTTCGAGACATCCTCCTGCTTCAGCCTCCTCAGTAGCTGGGACCACAGGTGTGTACCACTAGGCCCAGTTCATCTTTTTTGTTTTTTATAGAGATGGGGTCTCGCTATATTGTCCAGGCTGCTCTTAAACTGCTGAGCTCAAGCAATCTTCCCACTTTATCTCCCAAAGTGCTGGGATTACAGGAGTGTGCCACTGCATCCAGCCTCAATGTTCTTTATGTTAGTTTGTATTTTCTTTCTTTCTTTTTTTTTTTTTTTGAGACAGAGTCTTGCTCGGTTGCCCAGGCAGGAGTACAGTGGCTCATACAACCCCTGCCTCCCAGGTTCATGCGATTTTCCTGCCTCAGCCCCACAAGTAGCTGGGATTACAGGCACCCGCCACTGTGGCCCACTAATTTTTATATTTTTAGTAGAGCACCGTGCTAGGGTATGAGTTTTTATTTTCCAATCCATCTCTAATAAACACTGACTTTTATAATAAAAATAACTAAAATAGGAATATTATCAGGAAACGAATCTCATATGGCTGAGAACACACTGGAAATCATTTGTTAAGTAATAAGGCCTTTGGCCGGGCGTGGTGACTCACGCCTATAATCTCAGCACTTTGGGAGGCCGAGGCGGGCGGATCACGAGGTCAAGAGATCGAGACCATCCTGATCAACAAAGTGAAACCCCGTCTCTACTACAAATACAAAAATTAGCTGGGCATGGTGGTGCTTGCCTGTAGTCCCAGCTACTCGGGAGGCTGAGGCAGGAGAATTGCCTGAATCCAGAAGGCGGAGGTTGCGGTGAGCCGAGATCGCGCCATTGCACTCCAGCCTGAAGAGCTAAACTCCATCTCAAAAAAAAAAAAAAAAAAAAGGCCTTTAAGGGTTAAAAGAAAACTCCAGTCTTTTAAAGGGCACAGATAATGCCCCGAATTCAACTGCTGGCCACTTAACACTGTTAAGTATATTGAGTTATAGCAAGTATCCCATATAGGTTTTTTTACTATGATCTTGGGAATAAATATGATCTTGGGTAAGTTATGTTGTTTGGTATTTTAAGCAGGAGAGAGACATGTGTGCTTGCCAGAAGAGGTGAATCAGGATTTGGGGAAGGAGGGCAGAGAGCAGGGAGAGACCTGTCTGCTGAAAAGCCCCTTATTTGGATGAGGTCACCAGATCCTCGGCCCTGTGAGAACCGCTGATGTCTAGCACATCTGCAGTGAGCTCTCACTCCACAGTCGCGCCCAAGAAAGGGCACTCCAGTACCAGGCTCCAAAGGCACAGTGGGTACTCAGGGGAAGAGCAACCCAGAGGCTTTTCACTGAACACCCTCTGCACCAAGCAGATGTATAAACTATTTAAATATTCAGCATCTTGATTACCATGCACCTCACTGTTCTCGGATGAGAGAGATCAGATCAGCAGCTGGTTGGAATGGATGCCCACTGTCACGGCACACCTGTGGTGGTGATGGTAGGGGAACTATCACATTTCACGGCAACCCATGCAGACAACTCAATCACTGTAAATACCTTCCTAATATAAATATGATATACAAGTATGTAAGTCAATGAGCAAGCAAGAGCTGGGACTCAATCTCCAACAGGCTGACTGCAAACTCTTCCCTCCCTTCTAATCTAATGCCATCTGTTAAGGCCTAAGGGAACGCACCAGCTGGCACGACCGGCCCACAGCAGCACAAGGCAGCTGCTGCTCACGTCTTCTCTCCCCCAGGCCATCACTTAGTATTCCCAGTGGGATCTGTCTGAAACTCATTCCACATTTGGACATCTACTAACTACAAATATGCCCAGATTGAAAAAAAAATCAGGAGCACTCATGTTAAGATCCTATATATATATATATTATTTTTTAAAAGATGGGGTTTCACCATATTGGTCAGGCTGGTCTTGAACTCCCAACCTCAGGTGATCCACCAGCCTCGGCCTCCCAAAGTGCTGGGATTACAGGCTTGAGCCACCGCGCCCGGCGGGAACGAACATTCCTTAGACATGATATGCCAAATGTCAGGTGCCAGAGGACTTAAATGAGTTCTCTCATTCGATTCCCCCAAGTCCTCTGAACCCCACATCATAATGAATAAACACAAGAGAAAGCTGAGGGTCAGAAATAATAATTTAGACAAATGAACATGGTAGAGTGGACATTTAAACTCACAGCTGATTGGCTCTTAAGCTACAGGACCTTCTACAACAAACTACCTTCCCTAAGACATACTATTATTCTAAAAGCCTTCTAAGTTAGTTCAATCAATCCAAGTTGCTAAAGATATCTGAATCCCTGGAAGGAAATCAACTCCTGATTATTGACACTTCAGAGAGGACAGAAAAATAACCGTTGTCCTGAGCTAGTAACATTCTGCAGTCAACATTTTCTCAGGAAACTCTTTACTCTTCCTTTTGCATTTTAAAGGGGTGAACTAATCCCAGGTGGCAAGATAAATCAGCAACAGACTTTCATTTTCCCACATTCCTGGAGTCTAAAAGCGGATAAAGCACTTACATTTGGGTCAACTTTTACTATCTGAAGTCATATGAAAGTTATGTTGGTAAGTCACCTCTATAGCGTCCTAAGTAACAGTCCTCCACACTTGACAACCTCACTGACACTTCCATCTGGAGGTTTCTTGGCCCCTCAAACATGTCTGAAAGTCAAGTCCACCCGGGGATGCCAAACAGAAAAAAGATCTAGTTATTTTTCTTAACATTTCAGCAATTTCCCATTTTTGTGCGCGGACCCACCATTCTCCTAGTTATCCACACCTGATACTCAGAATTTAGTGATGGACTTGGAGAAAAGGTGGAGTCGATCAGTAGTCAACATGCGACGCGTCTTCCCGTAAAATGCATCAACACTAATACCCCTATTCAGTTCTCACAGTCACCATACTATATCAATTGAGTAAGAACTGACAACTTGCAATATCGGTTTCTGCTTCTTTCTCATCTAAGAAAACAGTATGTCTTCCATCTATTTTTTATATATTTATAGTTTTTTTGGTATAGGACTTACTCCTAGTAATTTAATGATTTCGGTAGCTATTATAGAGAGATCTATTTTTTAATTTTACTTGCAAGTAGGTTATTGTTGGCATGAAGGAAAACTATTCATTTCATATTGTGTTTACACACAGTCACATTTCTGGATTAGTTATAGGATCTTATGCTTTTTGAACCTTATGTTTTCTGGTTGAATAACCGTATCTGCAAAGATGGTAATCTCAATATTTATGTAACTCATTTCTCCATCTCATAAGCAATCTAGGATCTCCACAGTGACAATGAGTAACAGTGGAAATGCAGGCATCCCTGTTTGGTTTGTGAATATACTCCAAATATCTCTACACTTTCTCAATGAAGTGGTGCGCTTCTGAAACTTTCTGTCCTCTTCCTTGAAGGATTATAATACTTTCCATAAGGTTTTCTTTTTAGCCTCCTCCCTGCCCTGTTCAATTTAGCCTGCATGCTTATAAGATGAGCCTTATTTATAATATTCTCCACAAAACAATACAAAAATATCCACGGCTCTCCGTTGGAAACAGGTGAGGCTCTTCAGTCTCACACTCACGGCCTCTGGATTAGCCTGACTGCTCCCTGCACCCTCAGGTACTGTGCAGTACATCCGCAGTGTGTGTGGTGATCCAGGAGGGTCTTACATGCTCTTTAAATCAGAAGGTCCTTGAATACAGGGCTTGGCTCTTATTCACTCTTGTACTTATTATAATACCTAGTATAATAAAAAAATTGCTGAATAAATGCTTTCGCTCTAAAAATTATTCCATCAACTCCTTAATTAATGGTGACTAGTAAGCTACAACAGGCCAACGAATAAACATGTTATAATTTCACAACTAACAGGGGCTAATTACTCACTGTGATAAGGTCATCTCTTGCTCTGAGGACCTTCAGCCTTGCTTGATTCATCAAATTGGACATCTTACTGCAAAATGATATTGAAAGGCAGCATCAGTAACTTAAAACTGTAGAGAGATGGGTGAGGAAGGTCAGGTCCAGGAACTCTAACGTCTTGCCACTCAAGAAATGTCCTCCCTTTCAGACTATACCTTGCACATGTCTCATCTCAGTGTCTGGCTATTTGGTGAAGTCGCCAGGCCTACCGACACCAAGTCTATGAAAGTGGTGAAACTGTTTAGTGAACAGCCCTTGGCCAAGAAGGAGACTTATGACGGGTATCCTGATCACCACACTTACTCTGGACTCATGAGGACACTCCAGCTTCTTGGACTCTACAGAAATGAGCATCAGCATTTCATGGATGAGCAAAAATGACTAAAGAAGCTTCATGGAACCGGGCGCGGTGGCTCAAGCCTGTAATCCCAGCACTTTGGGAGGCCGAGGCGGGTGGATCACGAGGTGAAGAGATCGAGACCATTCTGGTCAACATGGTGAAACCCCGTCTCTACTAAAAATACAAAAAATTAGCTGGGCGTGGTGGCGCGTGCCTGTAATCCCAGCTACTCAGGAGGCTGAGGCAGGAGAATTGCCTGAACCCAGGAGGCGGAGGTTGCGGTGAGCCGAGATCGCGCCATTGCACTCCAGCCTGGGTGACAAGAGCGAAACTCCGTTTCGCTTCCATTTTCACAAATGAAGAAAAGGAAGTTAAATAACTTGTCCCAGGTCATATTAGCAGGTGGTCGAGTTAAGCTCTCACTCTATATATGCCTGACTCCAAAGCGCCTGCTCTGTCTTCATCTCCTGACTTCTGAAAACTTCCTTAACTTAATACTGCAACCAGGTTCGACTTACATTTTCTTCTGCTGCTCGATCTGTTTCTCTTTCTTCTCATAATACTCCATAATCTTTAGTCTTTGGGTTTGCACAAGCCGACCTTTCTCTATGTTGAACTCTTCCTCTGCCTACAGGGGAATTAGTCGATATTAATTCGTTACATCAAATTTTGATGAACAGTTTTATTTTAAGCAGCTGGTGACCTGGGGTACTTGCTTATGAACACTTATTCCATATATAAAACATAAAATTACGCCGGGCACGGTGGCTCAAACCTGTAATCCCAGCACTTTGGGAGGCCGAGGCGGGTGGATCACGAGGTCAAGAGATCGAGACCATCCTGGTCAACATGGTGAAACCCCGTCTCTACTAAAAATACAAAAAATTAGCTGGGCGTGGTGGCGCGTGCCTGTAATCCCAGCTACTCAGGAGGCTGAGGCAAGAGAATTGCCTGAACCCAGGAGGCAGAGGTTGCGGTGAGCCGAGATCGTGCCATTGCACTCCAGCCTGGGTAACAAGAGCAAAACTCCATCTCAAAAAAAAAAATCATAAAATTTATTGTGACTCATTTTCAAGGATTCCAATTTATTCAAAAGGAAAGATCAGCAGTTTTCATTATAAATGATGTACCAGGGCCGGGCGTGGTGGCTCATGCCTGTAATCCAAGCACTTTGGAAGCCAAGGCGGGCGGATAACCTGAGGTTGGGAGTTCAAGACCAGCCTGGCCAACATGGTGAAACCCCGTCTTAAAAAAAATAAATAAATAGGGCCGGGCGTGGTGGCTCAAGCCTGTAATCCCAGCACTTTGGGAGGTCGAGGCGGGTGGATCACGAGGTCGAGAGATCGAGACCATCCTGGTCAACGTGGTGAAACCCCGTCTCTACTAAAAATACAAAAAATTAGCTGGGCGTGGTGGCGCGTGCCTGTACTCCCAGCTACAGGAGGCTGAGGCAGGAGAATTGCCTGAACCCAGGAGGTGGAGGTTGCGGTGAGCCGAGATGGCGCCATTGTACTCCAGCCTGGGTAACAAGAGCGAAACTCCGTCTCATAAATAAATAAATAAATAAATACCATTCAATCAAGGATAACAGTAACCAGCAAGGTACTAAAGAATATAATTGGCCAGGCATGGTGGCTCACGCCTATAATCCCAGCACTTTGGGAGGCTGAGGCGGGCAGATCACCTGAGGTCAGAAGTTCGAGACCAGCCTCACCAATATGGTAAAAGCCCCGACTTTAAAATAAATAATAAATAAATTTTTAAAATCCCAGCACTTTGGGAGGCCAACGTGGGCGGATCATGAGGTCAAGAGATGGAGACCATCCTGGCCAACATGGTGAAACCCCATCTCTACTAAAAATACAAAAACTAGCTGGGCGTGGTGGTGAATGACTGTAGTCTCAGCTACTTGGGAGGCTGAAGCAGGAGAATGGCTTGAACCTGGAAGGTAGAGACTGCAGTGAGTTGAGATCATGCCACTGCACTCTAGCCTGGTAACAGAGCAAGACACCATTGCAAAAAAAAAAAAAAAAAGAATGTAATTGGGTAGAATATTCTGTTCATGAAAAAAATTACTAAGTATTCTAAATTTTCCATTTCCTTACTAGGGGCCAATAAAAATAACACAGAACTTGAAAGTTTAGAACAGGCGTCCCCAAACTGCGGCCCTCTGAGGCCATTTATCCGGCCCCCACCGCACTTCAGGAAGGGGCACCTCTTTCATTGGTAGTCAGTGAGAGGAGCACAGTATGTGGCGACCCTCCAACGGTCTGAGGGACAGTGAACTGGTCCCCTGTGTAAAAAGCTTGGGGATGCCTGGTTTAGAAGATCCAGCTTACTGCCCACAAAATTTGGTTGAGTAACCCTCAGGCTTAGTGTCCTCTCTTGTAAAATGAAGTTAAAAAAATAAAAAGTTTGAGACCAGGCGCGGTGGCTCAAGCCTGTAATCCCAGCACTTTGGGAGGCCGAGGTGGGTGGATCACGAGGTCAAGAGATCGAGACCATCCTGGTAAACATAGTGAAACCCCATCTCTACTAAAAATACTAAAAATTAGCTGGGCATGGTGGTGTGTGCCTGTAATCCCAGCTACTCAGGAGGCTGAGGCAGGAGAATTGCCTGAACCCAGGAGGCGGAGGTTGCAGTGAGCCGAGATCGCGCCATTGCACTCCAGCCTGGGTAACAAGAGCAAAACTCCGACTCAAAAAAAAATAAAAAAATAAAAAAATAAAAATAAAAATAAAATAAAATAAAATAAAAAGTTTGACAGACCAGGTGTGATGGCACATGCCTGTAATCCCAGTACTTTGGGAGGCCAAGGCGGGCGGATCATGAGGTCAGCAGTTTGAGACCATCCTGGCCTAGGGGGTGAAACCCCCTTCTCTGCTAAAAATACAAAAATTAGCCGGGTGTCGCAGCAAGCACCTGTAGTCCCTGCTACTTGGGAGGGTGAGGCAGAAGAATTGCTTGAACCCAGGAGGCAGAGGTTGTAGCGAGCCAAGATTTCGCCACTGCACTCCACCATGGGTGACAGAGTAAAACTCTGTATCAAAAAAAAAAAAAAATAAGTTTTAGGCTGGGTATGGTGGCTAACGTCTGTAATTCCAGCACTTTGGTAGGCCAGGATGGGCGGATCACCTGAGGTCGGGAGTTTGAGACCAGCCTAACCAACAAGGAGAAACCCCGTCTCTACTGAAAATACGGAATTAGCTGGGCGTGGTGGTGCATGCCTGTAATCCCAGCTACCTGAGGCTGGGACAGGTAAATGGTTTGAACCCAGAGGTAGAGGTTGCAGTGAGCTGAGATCCCACCATTGCACTCCAACTGGGGTAACAAGAGAGAAGCTATTTCCCCTCATAGTTAAGAGTGGTAGTGTTTTTTTTTCTCTTCTGAGATGGAGTTTCTCTCATTGCCCAGGCTGGAGTACAATGTCGCGATCCCAGCTCACCACAACCTCCGCCTCTGGGGTTCAAGTGATTCTCCTGCCTCAGCCTCCTGAGTAGCTGGGATTAGAGGCCTGTGCTACCACACCCAGCTAATTTTGTATTTTTAGCAGAGACAGGGTTTCTGTATGTTGATATTTTGTTTTATGTACTGATTTTTTTTTTCTTGAGACAGTCTTACTTTGTCACCTAGGCTGGATGGAGTACAGCGGTGCCATCTCAGCTCAATGCAACCTCTACCTCCTGAGTTCAAGCGATTCTCCCGTCTCAGCCTGCCAAGTAGCTGGAATTACAGGTGCGCATCGCCACACCCAACTAATTTTTGAATTTTTTTTTTTTTTTTTTTTTGAGACAGAGTTTCACTCTTGTTACCCAGGCTGGAGTGCAATGGCGTGACCTCGGCTCACCGCAACCTCCGCCTCCTGGGTTCAGGCAATTCTCCTGCCTCAGCCTGCTGAGCAGCTGGGATTACAGGCACGCGCCACCATGCCCAGCTAATTTTTTGTATTTTTAGTAGAGATGGGGTTTCACTATGTTGACCGGGATGGTCTCGATCTCTTGACCTTGTGGATGGTCTCGATCTCTTGACCTTGTGATCCACCCGCCTCAGCCTCCCAAAGTGCTGGGATTACAGGCTTGAGCCACCGCGCCCGGCCTTTTTTTTTTTTTTTTTTTTGAGAGGGAGTTTCGCTCTTGTTACCCAGGCTGGAGTGCAATGGCGCCATCTCGGCTCACCGCAACCTCCGCCTCCTGGGCTCAGGCAATTCTCCTGCCTCAGCCTCCTGAGTAGCTGGGATTCCAGGCATGTGCCACCATGCCCAGCTCATTTTTTGTATTTTTAGTAGAGACGGGGTTTCACCATGTTGACCAGGATGGTCTCGATCTCTTGACCTCATGATCCACCTGCCTCGGCCTCCCAAAGTGCTGGGATTACAGGCTTGAGCCACCGCGCCCGGCTTAATTTTTGAATTTTTAATAGAGATGGGTTTTCACCATGTTGGCCAGGCTGGTCTTGAATTCCTGACCTCAGGTGATTCCCCCCAGCCTCAGCCTCTCAAAGGGCTGAGACTACATGCATGAGCCACCATGCCCACCCTACACTTTATTTTTTGCAATGAGCACAAATTAATGAAAAAGTAAAACAACAGAATACTACAACCTCCTCTAGCCACCCATCACAATTAGCCACAGTTGCTAAATATCTGAATTTTGGTTTCCATGAGAAAATGAATCATCCATTACTTTTCTACCCTTTAACATAAAATTTCAGGACACTTATTGTCAATCCCAATTAGAAAGAAAAAATTATTTTTTATTGTTAAAGACACAGACATTTCCAATGAAAAGTTATTAAGGTAAAAGTTTAAATAAAAATAATAACAAATAGGGCTGGGCATGGTGTTTCACACCTGTAATCCTAGCACTTTGGGAGGCCACAGCAGGTGATCACCTGAGCTCAGGAGTTTGAGATCAGCCTAATCAAGACGGTGAAACCCTACCTCCGCTAAAAATACAAAAATTAGTGAGGCATGGTGGTGCACGCCTGTAGTCCCAGCTACTCGGGAGGCTGAGGCAGGAGAATCGCTTGAACCTGGGAGGTGGAGGTTGCAGTGAGCTGAGACACTGCCACTGCACTCCAGCCTGGCGACAGACTGAAACTTCATCTCAAAAACAAACAGCCAGGTGCGGTGGCTCACGCCTGTAATCCCAGCACTTTGGGAGGCCGAGGCAGGTGGATCACAAGGTCAGGAGTTCGAGACCAGCCTAGCCAAAATGTTGAAACCCCGTCTCTATTAAAAATACAAAAATTAGCTGGGCATGGTGTCACATGCCTGTAATCTCAGCTACTCAGGAGGCTGAGGCAGGAGAATTGTTTGAACCTGGGAGGCGGAGGTTGCAGTGAGCCGAAATTGCACCGTTGCACTCCAGCCTGGGTGACAAGAGTGAGACTCGGTTTCAAAAAAAAAAAAAACAAAAGAGAGAAAGAGAGAGAGAGAAAAAAGAGAGAGAGCGAGAGAGAGAGAAGAGACATTTTTATCAGTCCTTTGCAATCTGTTGCTAAACAAGTTTACTAACAATATTATTTTTTTTTTTTTTTGAGACAGAGTTTAGCTCTTGTTACCCAGGCTGGAGTGCAATGGCGCGATCTCGGCTCACTGCAACCTCTGCCTCCTGGGTTCAGGCAATTCTCCTGCCTCAGCCTCCTGAGTAGCTGGGATTACAGGCACGCGCCACCATGCCCAGCTGATTTTTTGTATTTTTAGTAGAGACGGGGTTTCACCATGTTGACCAGGATGGTCTCGATCTCTTGACCTCGTGATCCACCCGCCTCGGCCTCCCAAAGTGCTGGGATTACAGGCTTGAGCCACCGCGCCCGGCTACTAACAATATTATTTAGCAAAGCAAAACAGGAAACCTTGATAACTTCTTAAAACTAGAAAATGAATCTCACCTTTGCATCTATTTCTTCTGCTTTCTCATTGGCTTCTTGTTCAATGAAAGCCATCATATGCTTAATCTGTAAGGAAAAAACATTTTTTTTTTAAATTCAACGAGATGAAAATATATTTTCTGATTCACTGAACAATCAATGACAGGTAGGTGCAGCGACTCAAACCCATAATCCTACCACTCTGGGGGGCCAAGGAGCGAGCACTGCTCTACGCTAGGCGTTGGAGACTAGTCCAGACACCACAGTGATGCCCCATCTCTACTAAAATTAAAAATCAGCCGCTTACTGCATGCATACTGTGCCTGGCACTGAGTACAAGGATGAACGAGACCATTTCCACTCTCAGGAAGTGGATCTTTTTAGATCTCAGGATCTAAAATGTGTTCTAGCAAATGCACCAGATACACCGTTCAACAACACAGATAAGCAGGACATTTATCCTCCTCTCAGGGGACCTGGAATACAAGGGAGAAGTGCTACGTGCCTCTGTCCATTTCATATCCCTTACACTTTCAGCTTTCTCACTTTTCTCTTAACACTGCCATCTGGCGTGTACCCTTCTCTGCACTCCAATGACAGTTCTCTCATCAAGTGACAATCTCCTTGTCTCCTGATCTTGGCCTTCTCTTATTTGATCTTTCAGCAGCAGTTGATGTGATGACCAAATTACCCTTAACAACCTTCCCTTTGCTTCCATGACTTCCTCCTTTGGAGTCTTCCTTTGGGGCCATACCCTTCTACTCTGCCTCCTAAACAGCTCTTTTTGAATATCTTACTCATAGAAATCTAAATTCAAGGCCGGGCATGGTGGCTCACGCCTGTAATCCCAGCATTTTGGGAGGCTGAGGTGGGTGGATCACTTCAGGTCAGAAGTTCAAGACCAGCCTGACCAACATGGTGAAACCCTGTCTCTCAAATAAAATAAAAGAGAGAAAGAAATCTAAATTCAACACATTCACTATTGAACTGCTCACCACTCCTCTCCCACTTCTCACTTTGAGCTCTCTCAGGGATTAGCACCAAGCCCCAACTGTGACTCTTCTTCCTACCTCAGTCTTTACAGCCAACCAATGGCCAAGTCCTATCAATTTTCTCCTAACACGTCTTTACCTTGCCCACCTTGCTGCATCCTCAAAGCCGCTAGCATAGTCCTGGCCATCACCAACTCTCAGCAGAATGACTACAACAGCTTCCAAGTTTGTATTCCTGCCACTGTTCTTTTTTTTTATTTTTCAGATGGAGTCTCACTGCGTTGCCCAGGCTGGAGTGCACTGGCGCAACCTCAGTTCACTGCAACCTCCACCTCCCGGATTCAAGTGATTCTCCTGCTTCAGCCTCCTGTGTAGCTGTGATTAGAGGTGTGCACCACCACACCTGGTGAACCTTTTGTATTTTTAGTAGAGTTGGGGTTTCACCATATTGATCAGGCTGGTCTCGAACTCCTGATCTTGTGATCCACCTGCCTCGGCCTCCCAAAGTGCTGGGATCACAGGTGTGAGCCACTGCACCAGCCTATTTCTTTTTTTGGAGATGGAGTCTCACTGTCACCAGGCTGGAGTGCTGTGGTCCAATCAGCCTCCCTAATTACTGGGACTACAGGCGCACACACCATGCACAGCTAATGTTTGTATTTTTAGTAGAGACGGGGTTTCACCATTTTGGCCAGGATGGTCTAGAACTGAGCTCAAGTGATCTCTTGACCTTGTGATCCGCCCACCTCAGCCTCCGAAAGTGCCTGGCCTAGCACCAAATCTTAAAGAAAACATATAGGGAGACCAAGGCAGGCAGATAACCTGAGGTCGGGAGTTCAAGACCAGCCTCACTAACATGGTGAAACCTGGTGTCTACTAAAAATAGAAAAAATTAGCTGGGCATGGTGGCGCATGCCTTGTAATTTCAGCTACTCAGGAGTATGAGAAAGAAGAATCACTTGAACCTGGGAGGCAGAGGTTGTGGTGAGCCAAGATTGTGCCATTGCACTCCAGCCTGGGCAACAAGAGGGAAACTGTCTCAAAACACAAAACAAAACACATAAGATGGTTTCAGAAAGGACAGATTTGCTTGTTTTATGGGAAATCTCAGAGCCGCCCTTTTTTTCTTCATTTGGTAGCTGAGTTGCTACACACTCGGGGGATTCCAACTTCCATGGCCACCATCGTCTTTCCAACCTACTTTTGAGAAGCCAAAGAGTTACGACAATCAAACTCATTTTACAGATCACAATGTACTTACAAAACCTTGAGTCTTGAAATATTTGGAGTACGTGATCCAGACCTACATGTGTGGAAAATCGCTGACCTTCCTTAAAAGATCAGTCCCATAAATGTGGGAGTGTGAGGTGGGGGTCATGGTAATGGTGTCTACTAGTATAGTCTGAAGTCTCGCTGAACTTACTCTATCTGGAATTTTAAAAGTAATTTAGGCCGGGCGCAGTGGCTCAAGCCTGTAATCCCAGCACTTTGGGAGGCCGAGGTGGGTGGATCACGAGGTCAAGAGATGGAGACCATCCTGGTCAACACGGTGAAACCCCGTCTCTACTAAAAATACAAAAAATTAGCTGGGCATGGTGGCGCGTGCCTATAATCCCAGCTACTCAGGAGGCTGAGGCAGGAGAATTGCCTGAACTCAGGAGGCGGAGGTTGCGGTGAGCCGAGATCGCGCCATTGCACTCCAGCCTGGGTAACAAGAGCGAAACTCCGTCTCAAAAAAAAAAAAAAAAAAAAAAAAAAAAAGTAATTTAACTAGCTGGAAGTGGTGGCTCATGCCTGTAATTCCAGCACTTTGGGAGGCCAAGGCAGGTGGGTGGATCATAAGGTCAGCAGTTTGAGACCAGCCTAACCAACATGGTGAAACCCCACCTCTACTAAAAATACAAAAATTAGCCAGGCGTGGTGGCGGTCTCCTATAATCCCAGGTACTCAGGAGGCTGAGACAGGAGAATCCTTGAACTCAAGAAGTGGAGATTGCTATGAGCTGAGATTGCACCACTGCACTCCAGCCTGGGCAACACAGTGAGACTCTGTCTTAAAAAAAAAAAGGTCATTTATCTAAATACAGTAATCAAAACTGGTGTTTATAAATACTACAAGTTTGGCCTTTAAAGGTGAACCCTGATTCAAACCTGGATTATATGCCTTTAGCACTCTGCTGAACCCGTGGATACAAGATTTCACCAGAACAGCACAGCCTAGAACAAACTGTACTTATTCTAACCCAGATCAAAAAGCCTGTTTACAGTTAACATGATCATATTCTTTAAGAGTTCCAAAAATAGATATAGCCAACTCCTTAAGGACATTTAACTTCACCCCTAAGGCAGAAAATTTGACCTTTAAAAAACAGTTTCTGTCGGGCACAGCGGCTCTCTCCTATAATCCCAGGACTTTGGGAGGCCGAGGCGGGTGGATCACCAGGTCAAGAGATCGAGACCATCCTGGTCAACATGGTGAAACCCTGTCTCTACTAAAAATACAAAAATTAGCTGGGCATGGTGGCGCGCACCTGTAGTCCCAGCTACTCAGGAGACTGAGGCAGAATTGCTTGAACCCAGGAGGTGAAGGTTGTGGTGAGCCGAGATCATGCCATTGCACTCCAGCTTGGGTAACAAGAGCGAAACTCCGTCTCAAAAAAAAAAAAAATAGGCCAGTCTAATGCTTATAATCCCAGCATTTTGGTGGTCAAGGCCAGCGGATCACCTGAGATCGGGAGTTTAAGACCAGCCCGGCCAACATAGCAAAACGTCACCTGTACTAGAAATACAAAACAATTAGCCAGGCGTGGTGGCACACACCTGTAGTCCCAGCTACTGGAGAGACTAAGAATCACTTGAACCAAGGAGGCAGAGGTTGCAGTGAGCTGAGACCATGCCACTGCACTCCAGCCTGGGCCACAGAGTGAGAGTCCATTTCTTCTTTTTTTTTTTTTTTTGAGACGGAGTTTTGCTCTTGTTACCCAGGCTGGAGTGCAATGGCACGATCTTGGCTCACGGAAACCTCCGCCTCCTGGGTTCAAGCAATTCTCCTGCCTCAGCCTCCTGAGTAGCTGGGATTACAGGCACGCGCCACCACGCCCAGCTAATTTTTTGTATTTTTAGTAGAGACGGGGTTTCACCATGTTGACCAGGATGGTCTCGATCTCTTGACCTCGTGATCCACTCACCTCGGCCTCCCAAAGTGCTGGGATTACAGGCTTGAGCCACCGCGCCCGGCGAGACTCCATTTCAAGAAAAAAAAATTGATCTAGATTCCAAGGAACTATGACTTACACTAGTTTTTCCTATAGAAACCTTAGTCTCCGCCAGGCGCGGTGGCTCAAGCCTGTAATCACAGCACTTTGGGAGGCCGAGGCGGGTGGATCACGAGGTCAAGAGATGGAGACCATCCTGGTCAACATGGTGAAACCCCATCTCTACTAAAAATACAAAAATTAGCTGGGCATGGTGGCACGTGCCTGTAATCTCAGCTACTCGGTTGGCTGAGGCAGGAGAATTGCCTGAACCCAGGAGGTGGAGGTTGCGGTGAGCTGAGATCGCACCATTGCACTCCAACCTGGGTAACGAGAGCAAAAACTCCATCTCAAAAAAAAAAAAAAAGAAAGAAACCTTAGTCTCCAGTGTATTATGACAAGGAGGGAACAAAACAAACAAGAGGGAGAGAATTAGTACTGTGACCACTAAGAGTATATGGAGGGCATTTTACTTTTCCACTGCATCAAGCTTTTCTTCTTTTTTTTTAAGACAGAGTTTCGCTGGAGTGCAGTGGCGTGAGCCTGGCTCACTGCAACTTCCGCCTCCCGGGTTCAAGCAATGCTCCTGCCTCAGCCTCCCAAGTAGCTGGGACTACACGCACGTGCCACCACACCCAGCTAATTTTTGTATTTTTGTATTTTTTTTTTCTTTTTAGTAGAGACGGGGTTTCACCATGTTGGCCAGGATGGTCTCAATCTCTTGACCTGGTGATCTGCCCATGTCAGCCTCCCAAAGTGTTGGGATTACAGCCGTGAGCCGCAGCGCCCGGCCATCACTTTTCTTCTATTGAAAACCAGAAGAAGCAGTGAAAAAGGTTTTTAACAAAGCCCTTATTGTTCTGTAAGAATATTCTACTTCTTAAACTTCTCCACAGACACTATTTTTAGCATCTCTATTTCCCCTTTGGGATTAGCAGGAGAACCATAAAATGAAGAAGAAATAGGGATGAAGAAATAGGCACTTCCTAGTGCCTCTTAGGTAAAGAATAAAATGAAAAGACATTTTCAAAAAATGGAAACATCGAAGAAAAAACGTTTTCTTTTTTTGAGACAGTTTCACTCTTGTTGCCCAGGCTGGAGTACAGGAGTGCAATCTCAGCTCACTGCAGTCTCCTGGGTTCAAGCAATTCTCCTGCCACAGCCTCCTGAGTAGCTGGGATTACAGGCACGTGCCACAACGGCCAGCTAATTCTGTATTGTTAGTAGAGACGAGGTTTCTCCATGTTGGTCAGGCTGGTCTGGAACTCCCAACCTCAGGTGATCCGCCCACCTCAGCCTCCCAAAGTGCTGGGACTAGAGCCATGAGCCACTATGAGTCACCACACTCCGGCTGGGGAAACATCTATTGCTCAACTCAGAAGATTCATAAGACAGTGAGTATGCTTTAGTAAGAGAATTTTCCGAGCACAGTACTTCAGAAAACAATAGGCTTAGTTCTCTAAATTATGTGCAAATTAAACTGCAGCCTTAAACTTCCTTCTCTGGAAAATCCGCAATGTGACTACTAAATGCAAAGATTCCAGTTTCAGGTATCTACTGACAGGATACATGGAAAGCGCTTTTTCTTATATTAGTTACAGGCTTATAAACTGCTACTCTATTCCTCTGGGAATCTTGTGCATTACAAAATTCTTAATACCTACAGACTTGAAGGAATGGCACTCACAAACAAACAAAACAAACGAAGCAAGTTTCCCAGGACTGATTACACACTTTCAAAACTGATGTGGGTTCACAACTTCCATAACAACTTTTCCCCATTAACTCTGATTGATCTACTAGGTGCCAAACATGGTTAGGCACTGAGGCTCATAAAAAGAGGTCCTGCATTTCACACATTTTTATTTAATTTTATGTTGTAGAGATAGCGTCTTGCTCTGTCGCCTAGGGTGGACCACAGTGGGAAGATCATAGCTCACTGCCTCGACCTCCTGGGCTCCAATGATTCTCCAGCATCACCCTCCTTAGTAGCTAGGAACACAAGCGCGCCACAGCACGCCCAGCTAATTATTATTATTTTTATTTATTTATTTTAGTTTTTTTTTTTTTGAGACGGAGTCTCGCTCTGTTGCCCATGCTGGAGTGCAATGGCGCCATCTCGGCTCACCACGATCCCCACCTCCCGGGTTCAAGAGACTCTCCTGCCTCCACCTCCCTAGTAGCTGGGATTACAGGGATGCGCCACCACAACCCACTAATTTTGCATTTTTAGTAGAGGCTGGTCTCCAGCTCCTGACCTCGGGTAATCCAACCTCCTCAGCCTCCTAAAGTGCTGGGATTACAAGCAAGAGCCACTGCGCCCGGCCTCGGCCTGTATCTCACAAATTTTAACATACACATTAGTGGGAGACCAACCGTTACAACCCATTACGATAGAGGAGACTCCCCCCAAAATAAAGATTTACAGTTCAGGCCAAGCGCTGTGGCTCACGCCTGTAATCCCAGCTCTTAGGGAGGCAGAGGCGGGAGGATAGCTTGAGTTCCAGAGTTCGAGACCCGCCTGGGCAATATATCGAGACCCCGTTCTCCACAAAAAGGAAAAAGCAGAAAGACTCCCCTACACCAAAAAAAAAAAAAAAAAAAAAAAAAAAAAAAAAAAAAAAAAGGCCGGGCGCGGTGGCTCAAGCCTGTAATCCCAGCACTTTGGGAGGCCGAGGCGGGTGGATCACGAGGTCGAGATATCGAGACCATCCTGGTCAACATGGTGAAACCCCGTCTCTACTAAAAGTGCAAAAAATGAGCTGGGCATGGTGGCTCGTGCCTGTAATCCCAGTTACTCAGGAGGCTGAGGCAGGAGAATTGCCTGAGCCCAGGAGGCGGAGGTTGCGGTGAGCCAAGATCGCGCCATTGCACTCCAGCCTGGGTAACAAGGGCGAAACTCCGTCTCAAAAAAAAAAAAAAAAAAAAAAAAGAAATCGAGACCATCCTGGTCAACATGGTGAAACCCCGTCTCTACTAAAAATACAAAACATTAGCTGGGCATGGTGGCGCGTGCCTGTAATCCCAGCTACTCAGGAGGCTGAGGCAGGAGAATTGCCTGAACCCAGGAGGCGGAGGTTGCGGTGAGCCGAGATCGCGCCATTGCACTCCAGCCTGGGTAACAAGAGCGAAACTCCGTCTGAAAAAAAACAAAAAAAACAAAAAAACCACTAACAGTTTATAAAGGCCAGACGCAGTGGCTCACGCCTGTAATCCAAGCACTTTGTGAGGCAGGCGGGGGGGGGGGGGGGAACACCTGAAGTCAGGAGTTCGAGACCAGCCTGGCCAACACGGTGAAAACACGCCTCTACTAAAAACACAAAAAATGCAAAAATCAGCCGGGCGTGGGGCGCGCGCCTGTCATCCCAGCTTCTCGGGAGGCTGAGGCAGGAGGACTGCCTGCACCCGGAAGGCGGAGGTTGCGGTGAGCCGAGATCACTCCATTGCGCTCCAGCCTGGGCGACAGAGCTGGCTGGAAGCAGGTCTCTTTCCTACGCGTGGTTTCTTTTCTGGTTTCTTTCCTATCATAGGCCTTAACCACGTCCCTCGGGAGAAAAAAAAGTGACGAGGCTGTTTTCCCTTTTTTTTTTTTTTTGAGGCGGCGCGCAGACAAGCGGGCAGTGCGCGAGACCCGGGCAGAGGTCACGAGGGAGCAGCGGAGCAGATCTGCCTCCTCAGGCCGACCTCTGGGGCCAGGCGACGTGGGGCAAGGGGCCTTCCCGCGGCACCCGGGCGACTCACGGCCCGCGGCCTCCGCAGGCCGGGCTCCAGCCCACCCCCGAGACCGGCGCCGCGGCTTCGCGAGACCGAGCCCAGCCCCTCACCTGCTTTTGCACGTCAGCATCGCTGAGAGCCATGGCGAGAGCAACGCTAGGCCGGCGAGCAGCAGGCGCGAGCTGAGCCGTGAAGGGTGAGGAAGGAGGAATGGCAGAACCAGCCCTCACGCGCAGCTCGGACTCCTTTACTTTATAACCGCGCTGCCGGTTCCGGCCACGTGACTGCGCATCGTCCACATGACCCTTCGTAGCCAATCAGAAGAGAGCAACGTCCAGGAAGTCCCGCCCTGCCGCGGCTGGTGGGCGCGCGCTCGGGCGGAGACGCCTGCGCTTCCGTCTACGCAGGTAGCTCGTGACCTGCCCTGGGTGTTTTCCTGGGGTCCTGGGTGGGAAGAAGGAAAGATGAGGCGTTCCTCTATCTGAAATTAGTCGAGCTGTTGTGAGGAGTACTGGTTAGGTATATTGGAGGATGCGCCTTTATTGAAATGTTTCTCATAATTACAGTGGTATGGGTGCAGGGGAGGGAGATCACAGAGGTCCAGTGTCGTTTTATTAATGCCAATCAAGGGTACACGATTTTTGGCTGGGTGTGGTGGCTCACGCCTGCGATCCTGGCACTTTGGGGAACCGAGGCGGGTGTATCGCTTGACCTCGGGTTCGAGACCAGCCTGGGCAACATAGAAACCCAGTTTCTTCCAAAAAGGAAAAAAAGGCGGGGGGGGGGCGGCGGTATCATGATTTCTGACTGCTTATTCAACCATGATTCCATGGGTAAAGTAGGGTTTGTAGGTTTCTCCACGCTGAAGTTACTTTTTTTTTTTTTTTTTTTTTTTTTTTTGAGACAGAGTTTCGCTCTTGTTACCCAGGCTGGAGTGCAATGGCGCGATCTCGGCTCACCGCAACCTCCGCCTCCTGGGTTCAAGCAATTCTCCTGCCTCAGCCTCCTGAGTAGCTGGGATTACAGGCACGTGCCACCATGCCCAGCTGATTTTTTGTATTTTTAGTAGAGACGGGGTTTCACCATGTTGACCAGGCTGGTCGCGATCTCTTGACCTCGTGATCCACCCGCCTCGGCCTCCCAAAGTGCTGGGATTACAGGCTTGAGCCACCGCGCCCGGCCTGAAGTTACTCTTTTAGCCCAAAGCCCACACTTAGGGAGTGGGGAGCTAGGCATAACTTCCTCATTAGGGTGGAGCAGCTACATAATTTATTTGGAACTTCCCTGAAATGGTCTATGTATTTTTCAACAGCCTTCCCAGGTCCCATTTAGAGGAATCTTAGGGCAGAACCCCCTCCAGACTCATTTGCTTTTTGTTCGGATTTACCTCAAGGCCCCGTTTTTTCCCTGAAACTCCCAAAGGGAAAAACTTTTGAAAATTCCTCTATCTTTAGGATAGACTGACTCTTAATAGTAGAATAAGGGACCAAATCGCACGTCCACTTTTTTCTGGCTTATGTTTTTTTTCTGGCTTTGATCTGGCGTACGTTTCTAAACCATTTCTCAGCCTATGCAGATCGTTTTTCTTTTCTTTTTTTTTTTTTGAGATGGCAGTCTCACTCTGTCACGTAGGCTGGAGTGCAATGGTGCGATCTCGGCTCACTGCAACCTCTGCCTCCTGGATTCAAGCAATTCTCCTGCCTCAGCCTCCGTAGCAGCTGGGATTACAGATATGTGCTACCACACTGATTTTTGTGTTTTTAGTAGAGACAGGGTTTCACCACGTTGGCCAGGCTAGTCTCAAACTCGTGGCCTCAGATGATCCACCCACACTGGCCTCCCCAAAGTGCTGGGATTACAGGTGTGGGCCACCGTGCCCAGCCATGTGTGATCATCTCTATGATTTTTTTTTTTTTGAGACATCATCTCTACAAAAAAACAAAAAATTATCCATCTAATTGATGTTGGCAGGTGCCTATAGTCACAGGCACATACATGGGAGGCTAAGGTGGGAGGCTCAATGACTTGAGCCGAGGAAGTAGAGGTTGCAGTGAGCCAAGATTGCACCACTGCCCTCCAGCCTGGGCAACAGAGTGAGACCCTGTCTAAAACACACACACAGACACACACACAAAATGTGCGGCCTGGCCTTACTCCACCACTTTTTTTTTCTTTTTTTTTGAGACAGAGTTTCACTCGTTACCCAGGCTGAAGTGCAATGGCACAATCTCGGCTCACCACAACCTCCGCCTCCTGGGTTCAGGCAATTCTCCTGCCTCAGCCTCCTGAGGAGCTGGGATTACAGGCACGCGCCACCATGCCCAGCTTCTTCTCTGTTGCCAGGCTGGAGTGGTGCAGTGGCTCGATCTCGGCTCACTGCAACCTCCCAGGTTCAGGTTATTCTCCTCCCTCAGCCTCCCGAATGGCTGGGACTACAGGCGTACACCACCATGCCCAGCTAATTTTTTTTATTTTTAGTAGAGACGGGGTTTCATCACGTTGGCCAGGATGTTCTCAATCTCTTGACCTTGTGATCCGCCTGCCTAGGCCTCCCAAAGTGCTGGGATTACAGGCATGAGCCACTGTGCCTGGCTGCAGTTTACTTATTTTTATTTTGAGACATTAGAAAATAGGAAAAAAACACACAAAAAATAAATATTCCCATGCCGTGTACCACTACCCAAAATTAACAATTAACATTTGTCACATTTACTTCAAGACTTCATATGAAAAATAGGCCGGGCGCAGTGGCTCAAGCCTGTAATCCCAGCACTTTGGGAGGCCGAGGTGGGTGGATCACGAGGTCAAGAGATCGAGACCATCCTGGTCAACATGGTGAAACCCCGTCTCTACTAAAAATACAGTAAAACTAGCTGGGCATGGTGGCACGTGCCTGTAATCCCAGCTACTCAGGAGGCTGAGGCAGGAGAATTGCCTGAACCCAGGAGGCGGAGGTTGCGGTGGGCCGAGATCGCGCCATTGCACTCCAGCCTGGGTACCAAGAGCGAAACTCCGTCTCAAAAAAAAAAAAAAGAAAAAGAAATCATAGACATGGTTACTCTCCGCTTTTGCCACACCTACTCCTCCCCCATGTTAGTTCCTCTGTAAAACTCCCATTTTTTGAAGTTTTGCTGATTCACCAATGAACAGGCCAGGTCCTGTCTGAAAAGAATGTGGTAAGCTTTACAGAGATAACCTCTGGAGGGAAAGTTGTTATGAGTATGTGCAAAGATGAGCGGGTTGGTAGCTTTACAAATCCAATTTTCTCCTGCACTCTTAGGTCCTGTGGAGACACTTTAAAACATTTTCAGCGAGGTTGCAAAAAAACTCCACTCCTAGATAAGCCTATCCATTTGTGGCTTCACCGAAATCACTGGTCTAGATTCCTTTCAGGTTAGTCAGAATGAGATCGTTCACGGGCTCTCACCTACTCCCAGGCTGGTTTACTAGATACTGAATCAGCTGGTTAGATAAGCGAACTCTTGGACACAGCGGGAAAGACAAGTAAATGTACATCAGCTGTCTTTAAATGTTGAGCAAATACCTTTTTTTTTTGAGACGGAGTTTCGCTCTTGTTACCCAGGCTGGAGTGCAATGGCGCGATCTCAGCTCACTGCAACCTCCGCCTCCTGGGTTCAGGCAATTCTGCCTCAGCCTCCTGAGTAGCTGGGATTACAGGCACGTGCCACCATGCCCAGCCAGCTTTTTGTATTTTTAGTAGAGACGGGGTTTCACCACGTTGACCAGGATGGTCTTGATCTCTTGACCTCGTGATCCACCCGCCTCGGCCTCCCAAAGTGCTGGGATTACAGGCTTGAGCCACCGCGCCCGGCGCTCTTTTTTTTTCCTTTGAGACAGAGTTTTGCTCTTGTTGCCCAGGCTGGAGGGCAGTGGTGGGATCTTGGCTCACCGCAACCTCCGCCCCCCAGGTTCAAGCAATTCTCCTGCCTCAGACTCTCAAGTAGCTGGTATTATAGTCAGGTGCCTGGCTAATTTTGTATTTTTAGCAGAGATGGGTTTTCTCCATGTTGGTCAGGCTGGTCTGGAACTCGCAACCTCAGGTGATCCGCCCGACCTCAGGCTGGTCTGGAACTGCTGACCCGAGGTGAATCCCAAAGTGCGGGGATTACAGGAATGAGTCGCTGCACCGGGCATTGAAGTTTTGTTCTTGTTGCCCAGGCTGGAGTGCAATAGCAAGATCTTGGCTCACTGTAACCTCTGCCTCCCGGGCTCAAGCGATTCTCTTGCCTTAGCCTCCCAAGTAGCTGGGATTACAGGTGCATGCTACCACATCCAGATAATTTTTTGTATTTTTAGTAGAGACCAGGTTTCACCATGTTGGCCAGGCAGGTCTTGAACTCCTGACCTCAAGTGATCCATCCACCTTAGCTTCCCAAGGTGCTGGGATTACCGGAGTGAGCCACAGTGCCAAGTTTTATTTTTCGTTTTTCTTTTGCTCAACAGAATGTTTGAGATTAGTCTTATTGTCATATATATCGAACAATTCATTTTTGTTTCATTGCTGAGTAATTTCCATTGTGTGAATAAATCTACATGTCAGAAAGTCAATGTCACAGTAAAAAGACCAGGAGAGTCAGCTGGGTGAGGTAGCTCAGGTCTGTAATAGCAGCACTTTGAGAGGTTGAAGTGGGTGGATCACCCGAGGTCAGGAGTTCCAGACCAGCCTGACCGACATGGAGAAAACCCATCTCTGCTAAAAATACAAAATTAGCCAGCCAGGCACCTAACTATAATCCCAGCTACTTGAGAGTCTGAGGCAGGAGAATCACTTGAACCCGGGAGGTGGAGGTAGCGGTGAGCCAAGATGGTACCACCGTACTCTAGCCTGGTGAGAGACTCTGTCTTAAAAAAAAAAAAAAAAAAAAAAAAAAAGACCAGGAGACTCATAAAAGATTAGTCCAAATTCATTCAGTCAGTGCATGAAATTAGATCCTGCCGCAAAATTTTTTTTTTTTTTTTTTTTTTTTTGAGACGGAGTTTCGCACTTGTTACCCAGGCTGGAGTGCAATGGCGCGATCTCGGCTCACCGCAACCTCCGCCTCCTGGGCTCAGGCAAATCTCCTGCCTCAGCCTCCTAAGTAGCTGGGATTACAGGCACGCACCACCATGCCCAGCTAACTTTTTGTATTTTTAGTAGAGACGGGGTTTCACCTTGTTGACCAGGATGGTCTCGATCTCTCGACCTCGTGATCCACCCGCCTCGGCCTCCCAAAGTGCTGGGATTACAGGCTTGAGCCACCGCGCCCGGCCCGCAAAATTTTAAAAGTCAAAAAAA